TGTTTTGATCATAAGATATGCATGTTTCTTTAACCATTTGAAGATTTTATCTTGCTGTGTATGTAAATATGTTTAGCTGAATGAGATATATAATTATTTGATAACTTCATGAAAATTCAGCCCTTCATGGCCTCAGCAAGGCACTTGGCACACTGAGGAAGTCCCATTTCCCTCAAACAAGCTTCTATGTGACAGATGGATATCTAGAACAAAAAAAAATTAAAATACACTCAGATAATCTTTAAATTTTCAGGTTCCACCACTACTAGCAGAAGTTCTGTTTCAATATCTATCTAAAATTACATTTGGTGAATATGAGGATGTAGTGGAAGAAAAAATAAAAACTTCTGTATAAGACCTCATTACTTTACCAGAAACTGTCTGACAGAGGATGTTTTAGCATTCAGCATTATATACAAACAGTCACATTACATGATTTTAAAACCTTTAATAAAGACAAAGAGAGTAAGACAAGAAGGAAAGTATTATTAACATTCCCTACCATTAGTATTTCAGGAGATGTTCTTTGGTAGCTGTCCTTTGAAAGACATGTAAAAATATCTTTTACATGGAAAAATACCTTTTACATGTAAAAATATCTTGTAAAGCTGGTATGTGAAAGCCTTATGTAATACTGTGTTTGCACCAAATTAAGAGCACTTCAGCTTTCTTTCAGTACTGGTGTAATCTTCTTAATTGTTCATGTCTGCATAAGGAAGACAATCATCAAGATGACTGAAATATGAAAATCCATTAAAGTCTTTTGGGGAATTAGGTAATGCCTACTATCAGAAAGTCAATGTTAATTTAAATTCCATTTGTTCATTAATACTCGTGTAATATTTATTTTTAGTTGGTTTTAGATTCATAAATCTCCTTAGGAGGTCGAGTCTGTAGATGTCTCATGGTAATGGTATGAATAGACAGGAAAAGTACTTGCTAGTTATAGCTTGGCAGCTTCAATAGAACTAATACACAGGAGAAAAGAGAGGCAGCAGAGGTTGCTTCAAGAGAAGAAATTTCCATAAAATCTGTTAAAACCATTTTAAAGCTGAAGCAATACTCCCTCATTTTGAGTGCTCCATCATTCTGATTTAAGGTCAGGACAAAAGCCGTCAATTACAAGAATATGGCCTTTGCTTACAAGTCTGATTCATGCTTCTCATTTATTTTCCTTTCCAAGTTTTTCCTGTTCAATACCGTTATTAATCTTGTTGATAAAGATTTGAAAATTAGTTCAAAACTACCTTTAAAAAGGAAGACATTGTATTGTGTATTTGGGTTAGATCTAAAGAGGCAGATATTCCAAATTCCTTCATTTTTTTCCACTAGCTATGATAATGATTACAACACAATTATCATGGTTCAGCTTCTTCTTTACATTTTCATGTCATTTCATATTTTGGTGTTGAATATCCTTTATTCAATGAGCTCCTTAAATCATAGTAGCTATTCAAGTATCTCAGCAGATGAGGAGCTGAGGTGTTTCTAGATTTGCTACATCCTTCCTGGCTTAAGGATGCAGAAGTGATCATCCACTCAGTTCTCAGGGCTGTGTGCCTAGCATTGGACTACTACTGGAGTGAGTGCAGCAACACATTGGCAAAATAATATTTTTTTCATGTAATATAGTATTTCTTAGAAATAAATATTTCAACATTGTATTTGAACAGGTACATAGTTTTACACAAGATGTTTTATGGATGAGATAAATGTTTATTTTAAAGTTTCCAAAGTAATTTGGGACTATATTTATAGTTTGAACTTTATTAAATGTTTATGAAATTCTCTTAACATAAAAGGTGCTATGCGTGACTAACCTTGTCAGTACAAGATTTACTTTAATTCATCTGTTGCAAAAGCAGCAGTGACAAAACAGTGTTTAGTACTGAATATAACTACACCATTTAAATATACATACACTTCATATGAGGCACACTTGGTCATGAGACATAGCAAAGTACCATCTAATTTGTTAATGATTGCAACCATCAAACTTTCACATCTACTCTTCACACAGATATCTGTGTCCATCTACCTTAAATCTGTTCAGTTTCACTCAAGCCCTGATACCTTTTTTGATATTTTGTCACCTGTAAACATTGTTCTTTGTTCAAATTTTCTAGATGTGCAGTATTTCTGTTTTAGATAAAAGGTGTTACCTAGATTGTAAACATGTTGCATATTCTTTCTGTGAGTGTACGTTAGTCAACTATCTTCTGTTTGTTTGGAAATACATGGCACAAAAAATATTGTGACTTCTTAGCAAAGGTGAAAAAGGTCCAATATTTTCTGAATAACTTGCATTTTGCATTTGGTCCATGCAATTGCAATATGTTCGAGGGATGAGTGCAGTGCTTCTTGAATGCATTGGGAATGGTTCCTGGTTTTTTCCATGTTCATGTGCTTTGCTTAGCTCTATAGTCACTTAAAGAGCCTGGATGCAGCCCTGTCCTAGACTTGCTCTCATCAAGTGGTAGAATAACCAGGAAACCATACTGTTAATCCATGCAATGGTTTGACAGAAATATTTATTTAACAATTCATGGTGACATTAATCATTTATTATTTCTGCTATAATTTATTCATATGCTATTATGCTTCTTTGTTTCTAGGTCTTTGGTTTTTACTGTGTGCATTTGCATTCTTTAATAAATTTAGAATGAGAATGCCTCAGAACGAAATTTATGAATATACATGTGATAGCAGCATGGGTCTCTCAGACTGTCTTGAAACTAAAGTTTGAATAGTAGAATCATTGAGTGATAGAATGGTGTGGGTTGGAAGAGACCTTAAAGATTATCTCCTTCCAATCTCCCTGCCATGGGCAGGGCTACCTTCCACTACTCCAGGTTGTTCACACCCCATCCAACCCGGCCTTGAATTCTCACTGAAATGAGGAAATGCTGCTATTCCCTCATTTTGTCCAATTGTTTGGATTTTTAAACTCCAGTTTTGCCTAAATCAATTTAAACCAATTTAGGAATAAATGTAACTAAAATTAGATTTGGAGTCAGATTTCAGGGGAATTAGTCCAGTTTACGTTCTGTGTTGCTCTGAAGTGAAGCAGAGTGTCTGGAATTTACAAGCAACAGAAAGAAACATGTGAAGTAAGCTTTATTGTCCTTGTTGCCTAATCCATTTTCTTCATTGTCTGAAAATCCAGCAGAACAGTGATATAAATTTTATAAATAGCAGTTCACTTGGCACATATACTCACTGTTCTCAAATACTAAGAAAACCTTGTCAACTCATCAGGTAGGGGACTAAAAATTTTAAGACTGCTTAAGAGACTAAACAATGCTTCAGCTTGCTGTCAGCTAATGTGTTTAATGCTTAAAAAAGTAGCCGGCACCATTAGTTAAATGCAAGTCTTAGTTACAATACAAAAAAATTGATGAACAGCCTCTACCTCAGCAGAGTGCTCAGCCCAGTGCTTGGTGGCTGCTTGGAGCTAGCACATATTCTTTTGGATGACTTAATCACTTCTTTCTTCAAGTGAAAGAGACCAAAGAAGAGTGGTTATTAACCCTCATGTTCTCACAATATTTTCAGAGTAGAATTTGACTGGGTAAGATTAGTGTCACTTATATTACTAAGGATAGGGTCTAAGATTTATGCAACTATTTCTATTGGAATTTTAGACAGAAAATGCTGCACTGACCCTTAGAATTTTCTAAGATTATGTTTAAGGAGCATGGATTCCCTCAGTCTTGAACAAGCTGAATTCTCAAATCCCAGAATTCTAACTGTAAAAAGAAAGCAAATAAAAGCAGGCAATATCACTGAAAAGGTATATCCCCGTCCAATCACCATTTCATTTGAGTAGAATTATTCATTTTAATAGCTTTTGAAGTGACCTATTTTTTAAATAGAATTGTTTTTAAATAGCAGGAGAATAAGGACTAAGCAGAAGTAATTGGTGGAAAAGGGGTATAAGATTTCATGAACAATGAATATTGGCCAGCTGAGTAATAACTGAAGGTTGTCACCATCTGATGTTTGTTCACCAGCCTGTGTAAAATGAAATGGTGTTCTGAGTCCCATAGGATTTGGAGATCATTTGCAGCACAGAAGGCAATAATTAGCATCATTGCTGACAATCCTAAACACTGAATAGAGACAAAATATAATTTACCTTTTGATCCTTAAAGGTTTTGTTCCTTTCTGACAGAATTCAATCAGACTGAAAGAGCAGCCAAAGGAAATTTGTTTTATCTGGTGCTCACACAATGCTTGCTCTTTGCAACAAAGCAAACATTTCAGCTTCCAGAGCCAGCAAATTAAACAGTGCTTACAAATAATCCTTCCAAATAAAACTGAAATCCAACTCAGATAACACCAGCAGATAACAAATCCATACTTTTAAAAGAATAATAAGATTTAAGCATTGACAAAAGTAGAAGTGGAGGAAAAGGCAATACTCCTGTGGTATCCTTTGTCACACCTTTAGCTGAACTAGAACTATAGCCTCAGTGTAATTTCTCTGTGCATGAAGGTTTCTAACACCACAAAACTCAAAGTGTAGATAGATGTCAAGGACACTAACTTTTTCAAAATTTTGGTTGTGTACACTTTCTAATGAGTGTAAACTCTTTTGTAGGGAATGAAAGCCAATGATAATAGGTTTGCTGTGGGAGAAAAACACTGCATCACTGCAACAAAAGTCATTCACTGGCCCTGAGAAGGCTGGCAAGGTTATCATGTGGTGGATAAATGAATTTCATGACATGCTTAATAATGCAGATTTTATGGATATAAGATATGCTTCTTAATGTTTGCTACAGGGGACAAGAATCAACCGACTGTGCAAAATCATCAATGAATTTATTGGACCTGGCAGACACCATGAATTTCACAGAAATCTAGTTTGCCAAAACACTAAATAATTGAAGCTTAATTCTCAAAACTACAATGAAGTACTTTTTGTCCTGTATTTGCTATGTTTACTGGGAGTAGATACACTGTCTGATTATTGATGTGGATATTTCTTATTCTAGGTTCTATCCTTAGGGGCCGATGTTCTACCAGAATATAAACTCCAGACACCTCGCATCAACAAGTTTACTATATTGCACTACAGTCCTTTCAAAGCCGTCTGGGACTGGCTCATTTTGTTGCTGGTCATATACACTGCCATATTCACCCCCTACTCTGCTGCCTTCCTTCTGAACGACAGTGAGGATCGGAAGAGGAGAGAGTGTGGATATTCCTGCAGCCCACTGAATGTTGTAGACTTAATTGTGGATATTATGTTTATCATTGACATTCTAATAAACTTCAGAACAACATATGTAAACCAGAATGAAGAAGTGGTAAGTGATCCAGCAAAAATAGCAATTCACTACTTCAAAGGCTGGTTCCTAATTGACATGGTTGCTGCAATACCTTTTGACCTGCTGATTTTTGGCTCTGGCTCTGAAGAGGTAAGCTTAAATGAATAAGAAACCTTAAATCTTAATTTATTACTTCACAATAGTATTCTGTGTATCCTAAAGTACTTTTTGCTTGTCATTTAATAGCTGCTTAGTATTTCCATCCCATCTTTCAAAGTTAAACTAAAATTAAATCTTCCTTTGTAGAATAAGGCACAATGTTAGCTTTCATTAAGAAGAGAAAACATTGCATGATTCAGCTAGAATTTTTCAGTTATACCATATTTGACACTGTCTTGAGAAATAATAAATATATTGTGTGTGAAGAACTTGGTCAAATGGTTTTTTATAGGAACTGCTGCTTTGATTTGTCACTTACTTTTTAAAAACTTTCCATGATGCATGTAAGTACTGTGTTGGCATTGAATCATTAAAATAATTTTTCTCTGCTCAAAATATTTAGGTCAGATGTTTACTTAGCAGAAAACAGGTTAGTTGTAGCATAAACTATAGTAGTTATCAAAGAGATTTGGCTGATGTAAATTTTATGAATAATATGAACTATCAAAAGAAGCATGACATGCATGATCTATCTACACAACAGAGTAAAAAATTGTTCAATATATGCATCCAAAACTGGCCTAAAGGTATATAAAATATATGCTATATTCTGGATTCCTGACCCAGCTCATCCAAAAAAATTATTTAATTTAAGAAGGGATAAAATCATAATATTTTCTCTGAAAAGTAGAGAATTGGGTTTGACTTTTCTGTGATGCACAGAATACAGAATTTTTTTTAAAGCAGCAAACTAAGCAAAACGTAAATGAGTCTAATGAAACATGAGATTAAACCTTGCACTAAAAATAAATGTTACTAAGGAAAGCTATAAGAAGACAGAGAGTAATATAAAGGACAAGGGGAACATATTAATAGTTCTCTTACCAGAAGAGAACTTTTTTAGTCAGCAGGTGATTAAAAAGCTCAGAGATTTAAGAGAAAATTTGATCACCTTTTGCATTCATTATCTGTGATAGGTGTCCATCTTTCTGCTGGTAACTTTTTCTGTGGTTTTGAAAGCCCATATACATGAAAGACCAACATTTTCATAATGGCATCACTTCTAACTCAGACTACAACTTTGCCCTCCAGGCATGGTCTGCATTCCTTTCTGATCATTGATCCCTTGTCATTGCCAAAAAATTATTTTCAATGATTAGAAGTGTGGAACACAAAGGGTTACAACAGGGATCAGTCCCAAAGTTCATTGAAGGAGTGCCCCTGAACATCATTCTTCCCCACCTCCCCTGGTACAGGTGCTTTTAAGAGTAAAGTGCCAGGTGCTAAAGTCCTGCTAAAGGGATAACTTTAACATAAAATAACATTGCAGATTACAGTAACAAACCAGTGCATTCTTGCAGATAAGTAGACAAATTTAAAAATGTGGAAATTGAAACAGAAATTATTGGACCATGTAATGACTTTTTCACTATTGCAGATATAAGTAAATTGATTATTTCCTCAAAATCAAGTAATTGACCAGTTTCTCTAGCTGGAAAAAATGGCTTTGTTTATCTAAGCAGCAATGATGTTATATGGATTATGTTCCATTCACCATGCCATCATAGCTTCTCTCTCTCATTCATGGTATTGAACATGCCAATCACTTTTCTAAGCTGCTACTTACTGCACTTTTTCTTCCTACACTGCTAACTATAATATTTCACCAATGATCCCTTTTTCATAGTTTAGCAAGAAGAGGCAAATGTAAAATTGACAAAATGGAGCATTTTTCATTTAATAGAATTTCTTAAGTCATGAAAGCTATCTTTTTTGTAAAATAGCTCTTTTTGTTATCTAGAGATTCTTCAAAGAAGATCCCTAGTGAAAAATTGTATTGAATAGTCTTTTTGTTAAACAACATAAGCTCTAAAGAGAGCTCCATGTATGCTCATGCAGCTTTAAAACACCTTGATATCAAGTGGAGTCTTGAAAGGGCAGGAGATAATAATCCAAATACCACATACAGCACTCTCCAAATGCTTCTATTTGAGCCATACTTTTTCAACTATAAGAAAGCAACAGAGTTAGACTGCTAACTTTCCAATTTCTAAAATAGGGAAATAATGTAATTTTAATTTTTTTTTTCTGCTTAATGACTCAAAATGATGATGATTGGTAGTAAGTAATTCTCTCTTTTTTGTGTGTGTGTTGTGAAAGTTAGGTGGCTTCCCTGATATTTGGGAAGATAAAAATAATGAGTAGATGGAAAGAAGAGAAAAGAAAAAAAATCTTAAGTGATTATCCAACCACTCTTGAGCTTGTAGTCCAGCAGATAGGTATGATGGAAACAGAGAAGCAAGCAATCCAGAAAAGAGAGCAGCATCTATCAGGTTGTTCTTTGCAGATATTAACGGCTGGCACCAGATGGAGTAAGGTAACTGACAGAATAGGCACCCTGCCTCCTTGGGCATTGTGCTGATCAAAGTATTCCAGCACAGCAACAAAATGATGTTCCATTAGATGTAGTTCTGAAACCAAGAACTTCTGTCCCTGGCCAAGTGACACATGGAGGATGTACTGTTACTATGTGAAGGCTACATCAATGCTGAGAAGTGGACAGCATGTTAGGCACATCAAAACTTGTGGACTATGCTTTTCACTTCTGCTGCCAACTCTGTTTTAGTGTTAAAGCCTCTTCACTGTGTTAAAGAAAATTAAAACTGAGGATGAGTTTTTTGATGCTTGAAGCATATCTAGTCTCATTCATGCTGATTTTACCCTTGACGAGAAGAAGTTTTTTTGTGTTATGTACCTTCCACATACTCCGGAGCTCAAATTGATGTACATAAGTATAGGATTGACACTGAGTATGAATATTATTAGCAAGTTTAATCTTAAGAATGCAGTGGAACAGTGATGACATATTGTAGATTAACAATCTATCGTCTGATCTATTTAAGAGGCACTGTAAGAATATGTGGTCTCTTGCATGATGTAGAGATATGACTACATCTGTAATAGAATGTTTCAAACACCCCACTAAAAACAAATCTTGGCTTTTCTTAAGGAATCATAAATCTATAAACCTGATCTACCTACAAAGAAAAAAATAACCTAATCACAATATTTACATGTTTCTGAATCTCAGCCTAGGCATAACATTTTGAAGAGTGTGGTCTTTCAGACTACTGAGGTCACTAACCTTCTTTATGTAAAGTTATTATTTGGGGTATTAAACTGAACTAAGGAATGTTACCATACATTATCCTCTTGCTCATTTACTCAGAAAATATGAACAATTCATTGAGTTTTCCACTGAGAAATGCAGCCAAGAAAGGCTTGTTTTGTTCCAAGAGCTTTGGGGTTTTACTCAGAAACATAGTAAATGCAAGGATTTAATAAAACAAAAACTAGTCTAGTACTTGTTGCAAAAAACAAAAAGCTTTACTGTTATGCATACTACTGTCAGAGTGGTTTGTGAGGCTTGGAAAACTTTTCCTGTTAAACGTCATGTAATATACATGCATGTTAAAACAAAAGCCCAAACCAAACAAACAAACAAACACACAAAACATTAAAATGTGTGCAGTCTTGGCATTTACTGAATAGTTTAATATATGTTCAGACTTAATTCAAGGAAAAAAGGTAGCTGAGGGTTTTTTTTTAATCCAGCTGTTCCTCTTAACAATGCTGTCCATTCCTTCTACAAGGAATTAGCATATTTACTAATTACAATATGAAAATTTATATTAATCACCTCTACATTGTTATAAAAAGATCAAAGCCTCAAAGAGGCTGCAATGGATAATAGCACACATCTGCACTAAAAATCTTGAAACACATTCCTTCTCTAAAATTCCCCAATTTACTTTTAGAATGGTGTAGTACTTTTATTACTGGCTTTTGCCACTACACCTACAAGATGCAAAAAGATTAGTCTGAAGGAACTTTTCCATGATATTCTGTTCACAATGCTTTATCTTCTTTCACCTGTATGAATGCTTTTATCATTACAAACAGGAGGAATCTTGTAGATATACTCTTTGAGGCACTTCTGCCCTAACACTTCACTTTTCTAGACTGTGTGTGTCAGGGCATTTCAAGGAGTTTCTAAGTCAGGATCAAATACAGTCACACAGCTTTCTTCAAGAATACTTATTACCTGTGTGGACTTATTACCTATGTAGTCATATAATTATGAGTAGTTCTAATAATTTGCACACTTTATCATGTTAAAAAATCATTAATCTGTTGGATCATTAAATCCATTATGGTCAATTCAAGAGTCCAGATCAGATGAAAGGGTATTTAGCACATAATGACAACTTCAATATATCTTGATTTTAAATGTACATTTCTTATTTTTTCCCTTGGTTTTATAATGAAATTGATAGCTTAAAGATAATGAAATTAAATTTACATTGAAATGTGTTCTTCTACTCTTTATGTTGATTCCCCCAAAAATTGAATTTGTAGTGGTTTATTCATGCTTACAATTCATGAGAATACATTTGGTAACAGAGAAAATCAATTCCTATCTTATTTTTACAGACAACCACATTAATAGGCCTTCTGAAGACAGCTAGACTGCTGCGCTTGGTGAGGGTAGCACGGAAACTGGACAGATACTCCGAATATGGTGCTGCAGTTCTGATGCTCCTCATGTGCATATTTGCACTAATTGCACACTGGCTTGCTTGCATTTGGTATGCCATTGGAAATGTAGAAAGACCTTACTTGGCTCACAAGATTGGTTGGTTGGATTCTTTAGGAGAACAACTAGGAAAGCATTACAATAAGAGTGATGCAAGCTCTGGACCATCTATCAAGGACAAATATGTTACAGCACTTTATTTTACCTTCAGCAGTCTGACAAGTGTAGGATTTGGAAATGTGTCTCCAAACACCAACTCAGAGAAAATCTTTTCCATCTGTGTCATGTTGATTGGCTGTAAGTAATTTTATCATGGATTTTAACCTTTTTTTTCTCTCTGTGTTTGAGCAAATGGCTTAACATTCTAAACTAATAAGATTATAAGCATGCAGCCAGAAGGGCAAATTCCTAGGGAAAGGAATGTTGTATGCAAAAATATGTTGTGACTCATCCAGTGTCAGGAAGTAATCAAGTTGCTTGACTACTCAAAATCTGTTATCCAAACTGTCAGAATATCTGTGTTGTATATCAGTGTCTGTAAGCAAATCCTGTATAAGGTAAGAAGGTGAGTTTGGAGTGGATTTAGGAAATTCTATCCCATCATATTTATATAATCATAATTACATTTTATTTTTCTTTTTAAAACTGAACCCATAAATGTATGCATACCTTTTTAACTCTTCCCTTTGTTCTTAACTTTTGCTTAGCCATATTCATCTGCAAAGCCCAGTGATATGACTTAAGTTTTGTTTCTCTTTAATCCAGCATTAATGTACGCTAGCATTTTTGGGAACGTATCCGCAATAATCCAAAGGCTCTACTCGGGAACTGCGCGGTACCACATGCAGATGCTGCGAGTGAAGGAGTTCATCCGCTTCCATCAGATCCCAAACCCTCTGCGGCAGCGCCTGGAGGAATACTTCCAGCATGCTTGGACATACACCAATGGCATTGACATGAACATGGTATGATCTTCTGTTTTTCAGGCAGAGATGCTGAGCAATAGATAAATGCATGAGAAATTAGAAAGGCACTTTAAGTCTTTAGTATTTTCTAGTATTTTTTGTAAGCTGTAAAAGTACAAACTTAAGAAGGTGCATATATATCTCAGTTGTTTACAATCAAGCCACTGCATGTTTGGCATACAAACATTTCACTGCCTAGCTTATTGCCAGGTACATCAGTAATCGGAATTCTCATTGTGTATAGGAAAGCTTGAGAACTGTAGGCTACTTCTGTAAGCTTAAACAGGAAAAAAAATATAGGTTTCTTCTTTCAGAAGTAGGTGTTCCAGAATTTTGTTTGTTCTTCACCCTGATTTTCCACTTCCAGTATCAAACAAGAGAATCTGTGTTCTGTTGATGTCTACAGAGTTACTGTTCTATAAAACCTGTGGAGATCAATTCTTTTTCCAAATCTTTCCATGTAATCTAGAACAGGTATATTGGGAACAGGTTGAAGAGAGGAGCAGGCAGGTTTTTCTGCTCTTTTCAAAGAGAGATAATTGAATCACACGATAGTCTGAATAATTTTCTTGCATTCACAGCCATGTAATTCTGCACAGAAAATCAACACAGTACTACTAACCATTTAGCAATCCACAGAAACTCATTTCTGACAAGGAATAACACTCATTTTTTCTGGTTTTGATAAAAAAAGCCCCTGTAATCTCTCCTTCTATAAAACATGGCTAGCTAAAAAGGAATAACAATCTGTTAGTGAGCAAAAAGTAAGCATCTATATCATTCTCTGATTTTCTGGAGATAGAAACATTTTTTCTGAAAAGTCAACATCAGATTGAAGACACTGAGGGCATTATACATCTTAAAGACCTGTGAATCTGTGTCTCTGTAGGGATGCTTTCCTTTCCAGAGGTATTCAGAGCTGTAGATTAGAAATTGCAGAACTCTCCAGAAAGCTGTCAAGAACAAGAAAATCTATACACTTTTGTAACAATTTAACTAGAAATCAACTTCCAAAATTTTGACATACATTCAAACAGCTTTCATGTGATATCTATAACTACACTTCTGAATGACTGTCAGAGTACAACATTTTTATGCATCAAACAGAAAAAATGGTCTCAATTAAAATCTTTTATAAAGGTGAATCACTGACAATTTGACTTTATGGTTACCATTAAGTAAAGCAGATCTTGAAAATACAATAGAAAATTAATATATTTGTCTTCACCTGCCACTTCCATGTGTCCCCTCCAAAGGAATAATATGTCCAGGGCAGGACAAGGACAATTGTATAAACCTCTGCTGGGGATTATTGCAGTGGAAGGCAGCATCAATAGCTTCATCCTGTGTGGCACTGAATAGCCCTAATTCCTTCTGATGGCAATGGAATTGTGGGGTACTCAGCACTCTGCAGGATCAGGCCCTTAAGCTGCAGGTGTGTTCAACCTAAGCCTAAAGCAGCTCACTGAATTATTTCTGAAGATATTACAAAATCATATGTGCCTTAAGTAATTCATTACCACTAATGGATGTACTAAAACACCCTGGTTCACATGAAATAGTAACTATAACTGGATATTGTCACATGAAAAGTTGCATAATTTGGAAACTGGTGTACGGAAATTAGTCTTGGATTTGTCATGAATGTGAAACAACAATTAAATGGATTAAATAGCCCATATTCTGCAATATGATTGTGAGGCAGTATGGAGGATTTGTTTTTAATAAAGTCTGGAAAAACTCTCAAGTTTAATATCTTGTTTCATTGTATTTCATTCCTTATTCTATTCACAGTTCTATCCCTCATGTTATGTCAATCAGCTTATTTCCTTTAAGAGTTAGAATGAATTACACTTAGTACAAGGATAATATAAGAGTTGTGTGATTTACATTGTACTTATGAAAGATTTATCTCTTTCCTGTCTGCTTCACACCTAAATACATGGAATAACACCACCCACTGGTAAGAGCAGGAGGTATTTATATCAAATTTAATTCCAGTATAAAGTGTGAAGAATATCCATGTTATCTGTTGGGTTTAGAGCTTGTTCAGTGCTTTCTAATTTTAATTGTAACTTTTTGCATGATGAAGGGGTAGATAGCAAAGGGAAATAATCCAAGCAGAATCAGATGTGGGGCAAAATGGTTACTAAAAATTAGACATTAAAAGTGTCAATCTAACCATGTTTATTAATCACTGTTTTACCCCACAACTCAAGTCATGCTTCTTTGCCCAAAAAAGGTCATGTGCATATTGGTTTGCATCAGATAGTTGCTCTGTAGGAATGTCACTGACAAAGTTGTCATGCTGCTGATCATTCTGCATTTTCCTTTGTGTGAATGCTCTTGGTTTACACCATATATGCATGTTAACAAACGCACCAATGACATTTTCTTGGCTATTAGCCATGTGCATATGAGTTGGACTTGCATGTGGTTTTTACTTAATTTTGCATGAAATATTTGCATTTAGAATAAAGGACTAATATTGTCCTCAAACAAATGTGTTTGACTTCTGCCCATGTCTACTTGGAGTTTTTTGTGAATTCTGAAGACAGAATTTCATCTGATATCTTTTTTCTTCATTTCATGACTGAAAGCTGATAAAAAAATCAAAAATCTCCTTTGAAATATTAAGTGCATAATAATTTAATTTGTATATATATATATATATATATGTACATGCAACATATACACACATACTCATATATATATATACATATATAAATAACATGGAGAACATGTTTCAAAAGATGTTTTAAATTATCCTCAGTAATATATTTAAGAATCCAGGTAAAGTGGAAAACAAAATACAAAAAAAGAGATTAAACAGAAACCCTTTTAATCTCAGGAGTAATTGTGCACTAAGACTAAACTTGATTTTCTAAACAAAATTCTACATCTTAGATTGCAAAGCTGAACTGTATGCTTACTTGAAATGGTTAAAATTAAAATTAGCTTTAAAGACCTGCAAGTGAAATATGCTGAGACCTTGTTTATTTGTTCATTTGCTCCCTTCTGCTCCATTTCTACATATTTTTGATTATATTTCATTACATAATGTATTTTGGTTAAAAACAGTTTCACATAATTATGCATGGACTGGATAAACAGGATTTGGGATTTATTTTAATCTGGATAAAAAATCTTGAGTCTATAGAATAAGTATAATTTAAATTATGTCCCTGTGATATACACTGGCAAAGTCAAATTACAAAAAAAAATGTTTACATTGCATATTGTTTCATGAAAGATGTCACCAGTCCCAAAGAATCCAATTCTTGTAATCATTTTAACTGTTCTGTTCTAGTTTTTCTAAATTCTTTTTGCCCTCTTTTTCCCTATTTATTCCTATGTTATCAGTCCAGCACTGATAATGGCATGCCTATGATGCTTACCCTAAAAAGATTAGCTATTTAGTGTTTGAGATATTTTTTTAAGTTATGCATGTATTTTTTACAATCCTGTCCCATCCCTTCTTTCCATGGATCTTCCATGCATCTGAATAGCTTTATTGATTTGTTTTACATTTGAAAAGAGTTCGAAGAAGTAACTAAGTGTTACTTCTTGTTACTAGTTGAAAAGTGTTTAGCCCAGTGTAAACATTAATTAAAATTTTGGGTGTGGGACAGATATCCTTTTGGTTTGGGTTTTGTCCAATAGCATGAAAGGGGAGCACAAATCGGAATTTTTATGAATGAGTGTATGATTTCTCCTGCAAGCATTCAAGCAATTGGTTCATTTTACTGTTGTGATAACTGTCTTGGCCACTGTGATCATACAAGTACAGTAGAGCACACACCTATCTTGAACCAGTAATTCTATAGTAGCAAATAAAGGCCAGATTCGCCATTGCCTTGAACAGGCTTCTTTTGTAAGAAATTGGCCATTGACACCTGGTTTACATCACTACACTTTTTCATACTTGTTTTTCCTCCCACTGTGATCACCTCTTACAACAAAACCAGTTTTAGCAATAGAACCAGTGCCACTAATGTATTTGAAAGCAGAGGATTAGAGAAGTAAATTAGAATTTCAAAAACAGCAAGGAGAAATTCTTTGTACCATCAAAAGACTAGTGCAAATTAGATGTGTTTGGAACAAAATCTAGCAGTAAATCCTTAAACCAAGGGAATATGTAATCGTGTTGGAACTTGGCACTGCTACTTGCCTATATGTTAGAGCATAAATCACAAGATATAAACCAGCCACAAAGTACCTTATGACTAGCCATAAACCTGTTCTTTCATTTTCTAAAAGAGGCAATTTTAAGAACGTGATCGCCTCCAATGAATTGAGTGTAAAAAATTAAAAAATATTTTCAAGGATGTCCGCCTATTCCTAAATGATCCTTTATCAGTTTCTCAGTGCATTATATTTTGTGGTCTAAAATATCAAAAGAAGAGCAATTAATTTTTCAACTATCATATTTTTTGAAATACCCAGATCTGGTCAATCTTCAACTTCTATAGACTTAAAACTTTTCTCTAGGTAAGGGAGTCAACAGTTGAAGAAACCGAAATAATTTTCCATCTGCCTTGTTCATCAATGCATCATATCAGAGATCACTATTCAGATATACTCAGAAACTGTAATAGGACTGTAGAAGAATGGTCCACTGCAGCTTCATTAAGTCCAGCATAAAGATGTCACACATCTGTGTTGTGGTGATGACTGAAAACAAAAGATCCTATTCTTGATAAGGTTGTGAGGCTTCAATCCTATTGAAAGGTGAATTAGCTCATTATCACATACTGCTTCTCTCTCAATTGTTGAAAGGAAACATACTGAACATATTAAAAAATCATTCTCTACAAAGAGGATTTTTCAGAAATATTCTTTCTTCTATGTGGAGCCCAAGAGCTTCTGGAGCGGTATTGTTGCCAGCTGTGAGCCTGTTCTTTCTTTTGTAAATGCTGAAAACGCTTGGAAATGTTTCAACCTTCTACTTACAGAAATAATTAATTTCTGTAATTAATTATCACAGGAATATTGAATAGTAAATTCTAAATTCTTTCTAGAAATAAAATTGCTGAATTGCAGAAATGTTTAGCCTGGATGATATTATTCAATTACAAGAGTCAAATGTCTGTGATGGAACTAAATTCCACACTATTCTCCATCAGAGGAAACAGCTGCTGGAGGACAGAAATCCTAATTCAAAATCTAAGCAGTGCAATTTGTGCAGTTAAAGAGTATCAGGTTAGCCTTAAAATTAGGTGGCTGGCAAAAAGATAAAAATTAAATACATAGGTTATTTCACCAAATATATGAATTAATATTAATTAATTTTACTAATTCTTTCTGAACAAAGACAAAAGGTTAATAAAAATGAAAGGTTTTAATATGAAGTTCAACTTTTATTATTCAAATATTTTGAGAACCTTATTCAGCATTTAGTGATGCCAATGTCAACATAGCCTGAGATCTCTCTAATGAGGGTGAGAACCAAATACATATTAAGTATGTGTGGTCATGACACAAAGTGAATTTACTCTTGCCTCTTTGTACCTTCAGCTGCTCAAATTTTTTGCTGTGTTAATTTTTTGTATGGATCAGTTTCTCAAACCATTTCACAAGGAGAGATCATGACAAGGCTGGAATAATCTGACAAAGTGGAGAAGACCAGAATATTCTTTCAGTTTATGCCATCTTAAATTCTCAGAGGAACTTGGGAGTATCCCTTTATCTTTCCCTCCATATGCTGGGCACCTGCCACTCATAAACATGTCTAAACTGGTTCTAGGACAAGAAAGCCTTAGTCACTAGTTTCAACATATCCCAAACACAGCACAACACACAAGAGCACTTTTGTGCTCTCTTCAGCTGCTGTTTGGTATTTAATGATCCCACCTATATTTCAGCAGAGAAAATGTATGACAGAAGATTATATGCAGAATTAAAGAGTATGTTTGATTGCAAGGCAACATGCACTGGAGAATCTCTCATACTAGGAAAGGCTGAGAGAACTGGGACTGCTCAGCCAGATGGGAGAGATGAAGATTCACAGAGGATCACATCTATGTGAGCAAATACCTGAAGGGAGGGTGTAAAAAATGTGGAAAAAAGTTTAATTTCAGTGGTGCCCAGTGACAGGACCAGAGGTAATGATCACACACTGAAACTGGAGGATTTGACCAAACACCAGGAAACACATTTTTACTGTGAGGATAACTAAGCACGGGTAGAAGTTGCCCAGAGTGGCGGTGGCATCTCCATCGTTGGAGGTATTTGAAAGCCCTTGGTATTACCCTGGCTACCAGCTCTAAGTAGACCTCCTTGAGCAGGGAGGATGGACCAGATGATCTCTCCAACAAGATCATTTCCATCCTCAATCATTCTGTGGTTTTGTTGGTATGGAATGTGGTATTTCCATGTTTAATAAAAACTAACTAATATCATGGTTTACTTCAGGTTAAATACTTTCTAAATATTTCTGTGAGTCCTATATCAATACCTGTTCCGGAATTGAGAATTAAAAATCTAAAAAATGTCATGAACTTTATAACTTATCCAAAAAACCCCAAGGATATCTTTGGCCCAAACACTTGCTTGCTGCCTGAGATTAAGGCACAAAGATATGTCCAAATCCGTTGTCACAAATGTGCCTGATAAATGTGTGATATCTTGCTGTCATCCGGAGAAAAGAAATTAATGAAGCTGGACTCCCTCTCCTCATAAAAAGGTCACGTTCTTCAAGGCAGTATGAATCATGGCCCTACTGTCCTCACAAGCAATTACTTATTCTGTGTAAAATATTTTACATCTCTCTGGATGGCGTTATCCTCATCTGTAAGCATGCCACGCAGATAAATCAACGTTATGTGATGTGGAGTAAGTTTCATTCCAAACAGGAAGAAGTAACTGAACTTGGACTCGTTAACTACCAATGACAGACAACTGAAGCCTGTGGTCACAGCATCTTAACTGATTTTCCTTTACTTTTGCTTTGTCATGGCAGGAGAGCTAGAGCTGATTTTATGTCTTATTACGCATCTTTTTAAAAATATCTGTGTGTATTTCTTGAATTATGCATGACTTCTGATTCCAAACATTATTCTAACCGTAAGAATCCAAGATTTTTCTCACTAGGGCCCCGTGGAATCACAACTGAGGAGATATTGTGTATAACAATAGAAATATGCTAAGAAAGAATGGAACAATTGAAAGTCAAATCTGTATTTAAATGATTTATTAGTTTTGGGCTTTCATTAATAATAATATTATTAAATAGCACTTCTAATTCTATAATTTTCAATTTTTTATTTTGAAGACTGCATGGATGGTTTTCTAATATTTAGAATAGGCAGAGCATGTACAAATTTGATGTTGATGTTGATTCTCACAGCATAACATAATTTTCAATAGAATTTCAGTAATGAAATCAGAATATGAGAGTGAATGTAACAAATATTTGAGAGTTTGGGCTGGCAAAATGTCTGTACTGCACAGCATAAAACTTCATCTGGAAACATCAAATTCTCTATTATGTCACCTACTGGACTTAGATTAAACACCTCACCACACACAATGTGTGCAATATGGTAAGCTCCTTTTGGTAATGTAGGTTTTACCATTGTTTTAACAAATTTATCTTCTAATCAGCTTCTTTCTTGAATTTCTAAGCTTGTATTAATGGAATAATCTCAATTGGGAACCAATGTTATTTCGTCTTCCTTTTAGGCATTTTAAAACTGTGATATTAAAGAGAAGATGGTTTTTGTCTCTGATGTATAAAACTGCTTTAGAGTGTAAGCTCCATGGAGCAGGACCTTTTTAGTCACAGATGCTTGAAAAGAGGCTGGTATCTTTCAGATGTCATTGACACTTAAATAACTGTCAATTGATATGCAATGATTTAGGATAGTTTCATGACAAATATAAATTAATTGTAAAAATAATTATTTCTATAAGGGAATATCCAAAGTATCTTCAGAAATATAAACTAACACACATTGTCTGCATGGGTTTTGCTTAATGGTAAAATACAGTCCCTTGAAAATCAGATAAACAGCTGATGTGAAAAATTAAAACTATTTATTCTAAATGTAATCTAACTGCTCATGACTTCCTAACAATTCAAATACACTTTTCTTGTAAGTAGTTCTGAATTCAACATACATTTCCTATTTCATACCCTATAAAAAATAGAGCTCTTCTAAATTGTATTCAGATACATACATAACAAACAAATTAATTCAAAATAGGTCTTTTGCACTCACACGACTAGAGAACAATTTCAAAATAAACACAATTCTTTTTCTCCTGTTTCACTGCTGTACATATTTGTTTCTCAGTTTTTCACTATCATTGAGCAAATAAGTTCCCACAAACTACAGCTTTTTTATTTCAATATAATTACATTATACTAAAAAGCATAATTGGGTACTAAGCTATTTCTAGTGATGTAATAGATGCTGAAAACAGAGTGATGCCACAGAAGCTTTTCATTTTATGCTATTTCATTTTGCTTACTGTTGTTGAATGCTGGCTTTTTCTCATGATGTATAGATTTCATATGGTAATGCCATAAGACTCAAAAAATTGTTCTTATATGTGTGTTAAAATATTGTTTGTTATTTCACAGCATTGATTTCCATTAGCAATTAAAAAAACATTTCAATACTGTTAAAGGTTCTAATATCTCACTTTTACAACATAACTCGGCTTGTGCAGACAGAAGCCTCATATCAGAAATGTGTTCATTTTCACCAGCAAGGGATATGAGTTATGAATAATTTCTGCAATGAGAGTGAGTACACAGGATTTTTTGTGCTGAAGTAGAAATTAATATAGCAACAAGTGAATGGATTTTGGATATATCTTTTCACTGCAGAAATGTTTACAAATTTATTTTAAAACAGTGCAGAGGATAAACGAGGATGAAATAATAGACTGATCTAATAACAAAGAGACACATCCTGTTCACATATTCATAAGACTTGTAGCATCAGTACATATTTTGCCTTTAGTACCATGCAGCAGTTGTAGCTGTCCCTAGGGAAAGCCTCTGACCCAATCACATCACTGACAGCAGGTAACAGGATATAACAAAGAAAGGTGGTGTGTCATGCTGTGTCAGCATGTGCAGAGTCACTCACAGTACTCCCATGAAGTCAGTAGCAGAAATGTTTATAGATTCTAAAACAATCAGAGTTGTATTATCCTAGAGAATTTAGAAAAGATCACAGATAATGACCACGTTGTAAATAACTCCTTTCCTTCTAAACAAAATTAACATGTTGCCATGGTACCCAAGAGGAATCCCATGATTCTACTTCAGGCAAGCTCCCATTGTTCTGAGTAAAAGATGAGCAAGGACCACAGCAAGTAGCCCTGTTGTTTGCTGAGCAAATCATCTGTCTATGTAAATCTGCAAACATTGTTGTTTCAATAGGTCATGTTGCTTTCTTTCTGATAAAAATCAAAGTCCTACACTTGCAAGAGGGTTATATTTAACATGAAAATCCTAATAAAATGCCCTCTCTCTGAATAATATCTGATCTTCTTCAGATAGCTCTCATTTTACAAATATCATGGTTGTTTCAGCAAAAACCTCTCATATAATAACTTTAGTACTTTGACAATTGATAAAAAGGAAATAGATATATGGAAATATATAATGGAAAAGGAAATTTGGTCAAGGCTTTCCCTTTCACTGTCTTATTTGTTATTTTCCTGCAGTATAGTAATTCGTGTACCCTGAGACCATTTCTTGCAATCAAAGAAATCTTAATAGCATATTTTGTAAACACTATATATGTTAGTGTTTATAGGAGTACTGACATTGTAAAAGCTTTGCAATATAAATAACACTATGAATTTGTTGAATTTTAATACTCCTACACCTTTTATGTCTATTTGTAGGTCACTTCTTCCTTTTTGTCCAGGAAGAAAACAAAAATTCTATCAAGAACTTCCATAGCATTCGCATGAAATCTTTATGCTTGTCTTTCCAGGTCCTGAAGGGATTTCCAGAATGCTTACAAGCTGACATTTGTCTGCACCTCAACCAAAATTTGCTTCAGAATTGCAAAGCTTTCCGGGGGGCCAGTAAAGGCTGTCTTCGAGCTTTGGCTATGAAATTTAAGACAACACATGCACCTCCTGGAGACACTTTAGTGCACTGTGGAGATGTTCTCACTGCTCTTTATTTTGTGTCAAGAGGCTCCATTGAAATCCTTAAGAGTGACATTGTTGTAGCCATTCTTGGTAAGTACATTATTGCAAGGCATATTAAAACAGTTAGATTTTCAAAAACCATTTTATTGTTGCTCCTGGGACAGAAAATTTGTAAATATTTACTAACTACTTTTTTTTAATCAAGCAAAGAAATAATTTAAGAAGAAAAATCTACATTACTGCAATAATTCACATGCACCAGCGCCCAGATCTCTGGATTTCTAAAGATTCGTCTTTAGTCACATTAATCCCTAGGTGAAGGACCAGCTGCAAGTTAAGGCAAGCAGATATCTAATTATTCCAGTTCTGATTATGCTGCAAGATCAAAATTCAAGGCCACTCTGTTCTTAAACAATGATTAAGGTATTGAGACACATAGACTCCTCTCTTTGCTAACTGGAGCAATCTACTCTGGGCATTCAAAATGTCTTCTAGCGAGTTTCAGAAATATCTGTTTCTGCCCACTAGGCATAAAGGAAAGAAGAGAATAACAGATTAATTTTATCTAGAAGTAATGACACTAGTGTTTCCCCGATCTGTCTTACTAACACATCCTTGTTTGCATAGCATGATGAGTTACTCATTTCCTTTCCCAAAAAGCTGGCTCAGTCCAGCTGGGAGCTCACCTAGAGCTGATTAGCTATAGCAGTACGGAAAGTAAAATAACTAAAACCTTGCATGGCATGACTACCGATTTTCCCAATTTTGTATTAGATAATAAGAATGCAGAGAAAATTGAGTAGATGAGTAAGGATTTTGATGTACAGAAGCATATACCAGCTGTAATATCATTCGTATGTTGTCTTTCTGTTAATTGGCCACTGTAGGAACTTATACTCAGAAAAGCAGCTGAAGCAAGATGTGGGCTGGGGGCAGTATGTTGCAATACTTTGACTGATTATTCTGTTTATGCTTTGCAGGGTGAATGTGTGAGCAGAACAAAGGTGTGCCTAAAGCAATCCTTCCCTAGGTTTAGATAGTGTTATCAAGATAATTTATCATCTCCTGCTGTTGCAGCTCATCAGCTGGGCCAGCTTTAGGCACAAACAAAGTAGGGAGCATGCAAGTATAACATTGTGAGGTTTTTACTTAACTGTAAGAGTCTTGCCCTGATTAGGAGCAGTGTGGTTCATCAAAGAATTCATCTCTCACACCAAAAACATGTACATTTCTGTACTATTTCTATTGCACTTACAATCAAGGCAAACTGGCAATTATATGGATTCACCAATTTTTCCTGGGCCAAAGATGCAGACTGGACAAGATTTTCATATCATGCACATGAGATCCCTGTGCTCTCACATTGTAGCAGAAAATCAGCTATTTTCAGGGCCATGCCACTATATCTCTTCCCATCAATATCAGCCCACAATATTCTTATTAATATTCTTATTGCAGAGAATGTTTTATGTGCCTTAAATAGGGACCTCTGAATTCATAAACATTTAGGGCAGAAGGAGTATATTGGCAAACCCTTGTTTTGTCACTGATTCCTGTTGCATTTCATATTTTGTGACTATCTGTTATATCTAATGAGCTCTGTTTTAGGAAGTAAAAACTATATGTTTTGCTCTGAAGATATGATGAGATGAAAATAAGATCACTTTTGATGGCAATTTCCATATTTAATCACCTTTATTGTTTAAAATGTTTGCTTTATTTCCAGTATAAAATTATTTTGCTTCAATTTATTTTCATTGGTTGTTCCTATGCTTTCCTTCTTATATTCTAGAGGCATTGAATACCAAGTCATTTTTCCTCTCTAAAGAATAGATGCAATTTAATCAGGTTTTCTCTTAATCTTCCCATGTTCAAGATCCTCACTATAAATCAGCCCTTAAATTACCTTTTACATTTTTAAGCTGCACTTTTCAACTTCCTTTTTAGAAAATAGAAAAACCAGAACTGCTCTTAGTAACCCAATGTGAAAGGGACAAATGTTTAACAGAGACCAAAAAATCATCACTGGATTCTTTTTTACCAGTCTCTGTTTCTCCCTTGCCATGATCACCATTTTTTTCCACAACTGTTTTCTTAGTGCCTTCCCAACCCCATTTTGCAGGTAACCCTTAGTGTATAGCATATTTTCACTTTTTTTATGGCTGAAGCTGCTTTGCATGGATGAAGTTTAGGTGCAGTTCGGCAAAAATGAGCAATTAAATAGAGATGAAAATCTTAACAAACCCCTATTGCAAATGTGTCAACACTGATTGGAAGAATCGTAATGGTATCAAAACAGAGGCAGATGTGTTTGAAGAGCTTGTTCAAAAGAACTCCTGCATCTTATGAGCTTTGCATTCCCTCCAAAAAATATAAAACCTAAGTAATTTTCTACGAAAATATATTTCAAGTACAGTCAGTTCCTTCATGTAATTCTTAACAAAATGGTATTACAGACCAGACAAGTCCTGTACTAGACTGGACAATAGAAATTACACCTTTGCCATCATAATATGATTGAAATTACCAAATAATGCTTTTAGAAGAAAGGAAAAAGGAACTTGCTCAAATCATGTTGTTTTGGTGAAACTGAAGAAAAGTTGTGATGAAACGTTCACTTAGTCCAGTTATATGCTCATGTATTATCATTGATCTTAATAATTTCACTTTTAATACGTAATAATACTGCTTTTTTAAAATATGTGTGCGATGGGAATCTGACTGTATCACTTAATGTAAAACCAAGTATTCTATGCCTCTGTCATAAAGAAATACGTCATTCAATGTAAAGGCTTATTCATGTTTAAAATAATAATCTCTGTTTAATTTTTTTTTTTCTGCAGGGAAAAATGATATTTTTGGAGAGATGGTACATCTTTATGCAAAACCAGGAAAGTCAAATGCAGATGTGAGAGCTTTAACTTACTGTGACTTACATAAGATCCAGAGAGAAGATCTACTTGAAGTTTTGGATATGTACCCTGAATTTTCTGATCTCTTCCTTACCAATCTGGAGCTAACTTTTAACCTGAGAGATGAAACTGCAAAGGTACATATAATAAGGGATTTTTCTTTCTTAATATTGGGCCAAATCTGTCCCACAGTAACAATACTTGAAAATAGCATTTGAAAAACTAACAAAATGAAAAGCTAAAATCCTATATTAAAAAATATGCTCTCCTCATTGCTTCTACTAAAGTCAGTTAAACTCAGCAGAAGTCAATGAAATTATTCAGATGATGTTAATCTAACAGGATTTGGTTCTATATTTAAATAGTATTAAGGCTTCACCCAGGGGGATTTTGTTAAAGCCATGGAAAATATGGTTTTATTAGATGACTATAGCCTAGGTCACTACAAGGGGTACTTTTGACACTAAATGTAGTTGTACATCCATAAAATAAGGATAAATCAGATTATCCACATTCCTTCTGTGTCTAGCAATAGAATATATTTAATTGCCTTTCAAATATGAACTGTTAATTCCCTTATCTTAGCATGCACTCTACCTCCTAGGGGACTAAAATCTTACAAGAGACTTTTCAACTTTCACTCAGTCTTTGGATTTGCAGGCATTTCTTGGTCTCTTTTCCCACCGTGACTGTCCTAAGTGTCCCCTTTTGCACAAATTACATCTTCGGGAAAAGTCAAAATATTACCAATGTTTCCCAATTTAAGACTGAGAGGGTTACTCTGACTTGGGAAAGGAAGTGGGCACGTGGCCAAAGGGGGAGTGGAAATTCTCTTGCGCAGTTTGTGCTGCTGAGGCTATTGGCTCCCCCAGAAGATTGCAGGAACTCCAGGTCTGGCCACCAGGCAGGGACTAGACTGCCCACAGAATGACTGATTTGTATTTCATTATTTCTGAGATAATGCCATTTTTTGGCTCCCTTAAAGAAAAACAGAGGTTCAGTGTGAAGGAACTAACATAATTTGGCCTCACAGGCCTTCTAAGAAAAAATGAGAAAAAGAACACTAAAGTTGTGGGCTGCAAATCATAGGGACAGTTTTGCTAATTGGGTGTGGATTTATTTGTAAAAAAATTATAACAAATACAACTTCTAACAAGGAATGTCACTTCTTTCTATTATGACCATTTTTTAATAAAATATCATTCCAAAAATAAATCACCAATTATATCATTTTTTTCGGTCATGCCCTTTGGTGCATTGAAAAGGTCATAATTATTAATTACATATTAAACACAACAAAATGAATGTATGGTCTAGTGATAAATTTAAGTTAAAACAGAATGTTTTTGAATAATTTCTTGAGGATAATTTCACATTAATGATTTAAGTCTGAGAAATTATTCTTGCAATTACATTGTCATCAATGTTTTATCATTATTTTTTTCCTTAGATCAGAGACAAGAAAATCAGGAGAGGCTTAACCATGCTTCTGAGCTTGCAAAATCACAGTTTTTCTCTAACAATTTCACTTACTTTCCACTGTCTATTGCAATCCAGAAATGCATGCCCCCAAAAGAAGCATTGAGCACATTCTGATTTTCAAAACACCAGTCAGATCTAAATTTGTTATCAGAATAATAGGTGCTTCTGCCTCAAGTTCTGCCCCTGCCCTCTTGTTTGTATGAAAGTACCTTTTTCTTCCTGCAGTTATTCCACCAGTGGGCCACCACAGAAGCTCATCACTCACTAGGTTTAAAGTGAAGGGATAGAGAAAGGTGTAAATGCTTCCCAGCTCCCCTCTGCCCTTCTGCCACATGCAAATCTGCTTACTTGAGTGGTTTGGGAAACCTCACTAGCACAGGGAATGCAAGTAGGTTGAAGCCAATGCCATGGGTATGTACACAAAGAGCAAAACCAGTGTTATATTTGCTAATTTGTAAATTTCTTAAAGTAAAAAAAAAAACAAGACTTAAATGCATCTTTTACCTACTGAAAAAAAAAAAAAAAAGCACTGCAATCATCTTAAGATGGATTAAAAAAACAACCTTGTGTTCTGGTACAGAAATAAGTATCTGAATGATCTAAATCTGATAAAGAAGAAGGGAGGGTCTAGAAAGATAAAATAATGAGGTAAAGTGCCTGATGCTTGTCAGGCTTATATTTATTGTAAAATATAGCCTTTATAATCATTGCAAACTGTAACTTTTATAATCATTACAATCAGTTAAATATAAATATAATTGCAATCAATTACCACTTTACTTTCTGAAATAGTATGCATTCTCTGTCAGAGGTTATTTAATTTTTTTCATTAATTTGTCTAATGTTACATAAACCAGGTCTGTGCAAGTTCAGAGAAGTTGATAACACATCAACACATGTATTTCCATGTAAACTTATTATCAGTAAAATTTTATTTCACCATTAGGTGATGACAGTGTTGGTTTTGCTCAATTTGCATAAACTTTTCTCATGTTAGCCTTGGGCAATTCCATTCATTAGCTGGTGATGGAGAGGCTGATGCAGGCTGACTTTAATATTGCCTTTTTTAAAGCTTGAACATGATTAACAGTCAATCACCTATTGCAAATCTGCCCTCTTTAGATGGGACTAATCTGTCATTTTGTTTCATATTTCATTCATCAAGTCTGACCTCGTAATAAGATCACAAACTACCAATGATACGGATGGAGATAACTGCAAAATACGGAGACGGAAATTGTCCTTCCAAAGTGAAATAGAGAAAGGTAATTAACTTCATTTCTTACATGAGACAGCACTGCCTCATTATTCATTGGTATCTCACTTGGTAATGCTGGGTACATTGTGGTCCATGTTGGCTGTTACTGGAGCAGCCCTTGAGAACCCAGCTGGGCAGCAAAACTTCTCTGTGCATTAACTCCTGTATGCTTATGTATAACTAGAACATGTATGTTTTACATTTCTATGACTTCACATCTGTCTATGAAGAGCTGTTCCAACATTAAGCCACCTTACTGCCATTGAGGCATGCATATATATATATATGTAAATTATCTCTTAGTATCTATTTTCTGAGACATCATGTTTAAAACTGTGTGGACAACCTAGTCTGTGGATTATTTTATCTCCTCAGCAAAGTGCTTTGTTGTACTTGATTCTAGGTGGTGTTTCTCCCTGGAATTGAAATATTTTAAAAATTAAAAATTTAAAATATTTCAGGACACCATAGATTCACCATAGTCTGATTTGGATCCATATGATAATGTGTAAAAGGTTGTCCTGGCAAAAGGTTATGTAATACTTCATGTGCTTACATTTACATTAGCAGCTTTTGGGAGTAAACCTAATGAACAAAAATTCAGTGAAACATTAAACTTTTTTACCACTTTGAAGTACTGCTCAATACTGGAAACTGTAGACAGTAGATCTGGTCAGACAGCAACAGTCATGAAGACAGCTAAACTGATACTCATGGATTTTCATTTTTATGTAGGAAAAACACAATTCCTTGAATGCCATTGCACTTTTATGGTTGAATGGTTTGTTTGACAAATTACTGTTTCTGTTATGCCTGTCTTTCACACTCCACAGTTAAACCTCAGTCCTAAATGCAGCATAAGCAATTTATGGAGTAGCAGAGTAGCTGATAATAAATGGGAACAGTTTAAATATCCATAGCAGGTATAATGCTCAATGAAGAGACTCTAATCCAGAGTGTGGCTATTCAGAACAATGACATCCCTGTTCGATCAAAGAAGCATCTTTAGGGCAGGAAGCCAAGACCGACAACAAATCTGTCAGGAAAATGTCCCCATGAAATATTCAATCTGCTCTTCACAAAGAATCTGTTGACAGAGATACTTTGCCTGACTAACCTTCACATTCCTTATGAGAAAAACATATGCTGCTACCTAGACAAGATGGAAGTGATCTTTTATGTTGTGCCTGCTGTAGAATTACAAATAGGCTACTCAGGTGTCAGTGAGGTTCCAAGACCCCTAGGCTTTTATGGCTCTTGCCCAGTCAATTACACTGAACATCCTCTTTGAAACATTTATTTGCATTACTTTTGAAAGAATATAATTTCCCACAGTTTCCTCTTTGAAAAAAATACTTCCATTGTTGGGGAAGAAGAGGCAAGACTGGCAGGCTCCTTAGCCCTGGCAATGATTGTGCAGCACCTGGTAATAACTGGGTTAGGCAGAAGTGAGGTACATTGGAAGTCCATCTGAGGAGAAGACAAAACGAGTAGGAGTCCTTTGCCAAGTACTGAGTGCACTTTTGTTCCAGTGGCTTACTGCCCCTCTCTGGTCTCTTTTCAGATTCTCTACGTGTTCCCATGGCCACAGCAGACACCTCATAGTCATAGATCTTCCGTGTTACTTTTCTGTGTCCCTTCCCACATCCTCTTTGAGGTTGTAAAGTAGGTTCTACTAGAGGTACTGCTGGTTTTTAAAGTAATGTTCTATTGATTTCAACCCTTTATATGTAGGAGGGAGTGGCATCTTATTTTGATCCAGCATAGTCAGTTTATAATGATAAATATTTGGAGATGATCCTGCAGAGTTTTTCAGAACTGGAGGAGAAAAGACACAGTTTCTGAACAAACAGCTGAAAAATGCATTTCTGGCCAAAGTGTGTCAAAAGGTAAAAAAATACTTGTTGTATAAACATCATATTTTGATTTCAGAACTATAGTTTAAACAGGATAGAGACTCCCAGAATTCTTACTGTTATATTTTGATATTTTATTTTGCAATTATTAGAGGCACACTTAGTAAATGCTCTTCTTGCTGGCATTCTTTACTTTCAGTTGTTGACCTACTAGCATATTATGCAGCTTGAAATTGCATTTTTTCCATCTTTAGTGTGAGCATGATGTTTTCTCTGTTTTGGAGTGCTAAAAATGGGATTGTGTTATCTCAGCCTTTAGTTCATGCTAGCCTGATTTGGACCTTGTTTCCATGGTAACTCTTCCTGCACAAGTTTTATCAGGGGTTAAACAAAATCAACACAGCTCTCTTTTATGCATCTGCAGTTAGTACCCCTGGTTCTCCACTTTCACACAAGATTTCACTCCACATATACATAATTCCACCTTTTCTATCCTGTGATTTTAACTAGGAAGGCTTATAAGGGCTCTGTCATAGTGTGTTTTTCGAGGCTACGAGACTATTTGAGAGACCAGCTTGTTCTCTGGCTTCTAGAATCGGTTGCAGTCTCAGAAGAAGTCCCCTGCAAAAATGAACATACACACTGTGTAGCAGCTTGCACTTGCTTCCCACCCTAAAGAAATTCACTGCATGTTTTTCAGAATAATGGATGGTACTTCTTGCACAGGTGCAGGTGCAGACTTAGCCAGTTGCCATAGATCCCTGACAGTGAGCCAAGGAAGTCTCCGAGACTGCTTAAAATTAGCAGCATTCCAGCCTGGCAGTTCCAAACAAAGCTCTCAGCTGGGTTGGCAAGTTAGCCTCCTGCTGAAAACTTTGTGACAATGAGCTGTGCCATCTATACTCAGTTGTCATTTTTAGCAGTGCAGAATACAATTTTTTCTTGCTCATTTCTCATTTACTTCTAGCAGTTCTCTGTGAGTTAGCTAATTTCAAGGGAAGTACATTCAGGCAAGAACTTTCTTTAGCTCTGCTAGTTCTATTATCCCATGTGCAGTTCTATTATCCCATGATGAATAGGGCATTTCTAGAGTTGTTTACATCAATATAAAATCCAATATATGCGTTTCACCATATATGAAAATGCACAGTGTAAGGGGACTCACAGAAAGCCTGAAAACTTGGGGCTTTGAAAAGACTGTTCTGAAGGTCAAGCATTATCATTTTTGCTAGAAACTTGTTTAACTTTTTGTTAATCCTGGCTCTAAAATCTTAGCCTTCTTGGGACTGTTCTAGTGACTGTTCTAGCTGGGCCAGGAAACTTATAACAAGAAAATTTTAGCTCCATGGATATGATGTTAAGTTGTCACTAAGCAAATTTCTCCCAGATTCTTGTTACCCTGGGGCTTGCACTTGTCCATGTCGACACAGACTGTAACAACCAAGTGGGATATAAAATACATTTTGTTTCATACTTAAAATATTATTAACTTAAAATATTATTAACCAGTATTAACTAGTAAACTCATATATTGCTTAATTTGAAGAGTTATGTTTCCTGATCAGACTTTCCAAAAGTGTCTACTCATGAATTCTCAAAGTAAGCACAAAAGCCAGAATTCTAAAAAACTTCTAACTGAATCTTGATTAATGTAACTACCTTTAGTGTTCATTGCTTGTAGGTGTTTTTCAGGCTAAGAAGCCAAGCCATATTAACACAGCTTTATTACACAAAGTATCTAGAGCCCATGGCTCTTGATTTAGATAGAGAAGACAAGAAAACGTTTCAGGAACTGATTCTCCTGCCTGAAACTATGGTGTAATGAGAGAATGGGGAAATACCCCCTGCCCTGTTCTTTCCCATTCTCGTCCCCTCCCTCAGCTTACTTATCTAAATGCTTACTTTATTAATAGATGCTCAGACAAGCACTGTGCCATGTTCCTAGAAGGAAAGTCAGGTAAGAATGTAGAGAAAAATTGAAGCTCTTACTTAACTGTGTTAAACTGTTAGTATTTTGCTGATGAAGTTGGCTTGGGCTTAATTAGCAAAGAGTTTCTAACATTTCCCTGGAGTGTTAGGTCATTAAACCCTCAGGAAACAACTAACGTGTTGGCAGGCATCATAAGGCTGGAAACAAGACTTCATGTCCCCAAAATCTTACTTAATCATGAAACCCCTAGCAAAAAAGTGCCTAGTCATCAGAGAGCCCCCCAGTGCAGTGTTCATCTGCTCCTATTAGTGTTTCTGCTGTTATCACATTGCCTAGGTGCCCCCTCAGGGAGCTTCCACAGGAGAGTCTTGTTTCCAGTTACTCCCAAAGAGGCTGTTTCCAAAGGCCAAATCTGCAAAATGTTATGTGCAGCCACACATATCCATAGCTATCCTTTGAAAAAATAGTAATAATAGTACTATGGTGAAAGCTGAATCCCTTGTAAAAGATAAGAGAATTCTAAATTTGATAAGAGAATTGTTTTGATCTCTGCCCTGAATCCATTCTGAGAGGTGCATTGCTAGAATTATTTGTTTCTGATTTTTTTTCCCCATAGCATTATTTCCTGAAATACAAACTAATAATTGTCCTTCTATTGTTATCTCATTACCATTGACACAAAAACAGACAAAACAAAGAAAATGGAGATGGAGGGCTGTCACTCCATCCGTAACATCTCATTGTACTGAAAATGGCACAAAAGAATAAATGAAAGACTTCATATTCCCTTGATCTTTGAAATTCTTGGGTTTTTAAATGTGTCTCAAATTCGGTTATTCAAAACCTAGCTCTTTTCTAAGCCCTTGTAAAAATAGGGACATGGATCCTTATGGAAAAGTCAATAAGGACTTCATCATGATGGGGAGGTTTCAGTACCCTCTGCTGTTCCCTATTTCCAAAATCATCCAAACTTTCATGGGTCAGAGACAAAACATGGCAAAGGACAGATTAACTTACCAAACACTCCCAAGCAGTGCTGATACAGAACAGTAATTCAAACTCTCTGCAGTACAGTTCATTTCCTCCACCATCACTATTGAATCTACTGGAAACTTTCAGCAAAATTGCTCGAAATTCTATAACAATGGAATCTCACTAGTTTGTATTTATATTTATATCTAGCTTAATCTATTATATCGACCCATAGTAGACTTAGAATCTCCCAAATTATGAATGAAATTGGAATTAAACAAATTTTCCATCATTAAAAACAATCACAAAAAAGCATATAAACCTTTTTACTACTGAAAGACAAAATGTTTAAGCTTTCCCAAAATACTTCTAGCAACCCACTTTTCTTAGGATTAGGGATATTCCTGCATAGTTACTAAACAGACAACATTTTCCTTGGTGTCAGTCAAATACCACACACATATCCGACAGTACATTTCTAAGTAGGGGGTCCTAAAGATAGGTGGGATATTTGAAGAGAACCATAATGAGTAGAAGTGAGGAAGAAGGAGAAAAACAAGCATGTGCTAAAGAATCCAAGAACTTTCACAGTTCAGGTTTCAGAAGCCACTGTAAATCTTTGGTATTGTTTCAGATTTTGGGGTCTGACAGGTCAACAAACATGAAATTGAAAGTGCTGAAGCAGGACATCTAGATACACAAATTCAAGGGCCTGGTGGAACTTCTGGCAAATTATTGGTTAGCTGAAAAGGGAGTAAAGATTTGCTACCTTCTGAAACACTAGGCTATATAGCTGGCTTGATTAATGATGACAAATTCCAGCTAATGAAATTACAGCAGTATTAAAAATGCTGCTCCATAGGTAATGTATTGTTGACACTTTCACCAATATTGTTTGCAGCAGACTGATATATGAAGAGAAAATACCTCTAGATCATGCAGACTGGCCCTACCTGAGTAATGCAAAATTTCCATATGCAAACCATATCACACAAAGGAAACCTGTCTGATGTCTGGTCACCATCCCATGAAGCAGAAGTAGGATTTTAATGCCAGTATATCTGTGAGTCACTGTCATAGCTCTCTGACCCAGACTCTAACGTTACAACCTCACTTCTTCCCTTCCTTTGACCATGTATGTGCAAAAAGCAGGACACAAAACCTTCTGATAATTACTTTGAAGATTTTGGAATTTCCAGACAGCAAATGTCAGAGGACACTGCCTGTAAACTTGTCAAGCACTCAAAACACATAGCACGCCAAAACAGTTCCATAGAGTGTAAATAATGTTTATACATTTTGGAAAAGCAGGAAGTTACGAAAATAATCATCTTCAGTAAAACAGTTTCTAGCTCTTTCAGAATCAGAAAGTGCAATTTTTCTTACTGGAAAAGGAAAGAGAAAACACTAGAACTGGTACAGGGGGAGGAGAGGAAGATGGGGTTTAATGATTATATTCAGAAGAAGAACAGAAAGGGATAAATAAAGCTTTTAAAACACTTTTCTGTGTGGCAGAAAGTGAACATATCCATACATACACAGTTAGATAAGTCTTCTTTTCTGGAAAATCTATTCCAAACCAATGACTAAATTTCATTACAAAAGGAAGGAGAAATTGGAGAAATTCACATTCTGAAAAAAAGCCCTACCTATCTATTATTTGTAACTTACTTTCCACTGAGCTGCAGAGGCACTGCTAAGGTGTTGAGCTGAGGTACAGAACTTGTACCGTTATCAGGTCCTGAAGAGTCAATAAAATAGAGCCATTTCTATTTTAATTCATACCCTAGGTGCAAAGTGTCACAAGATTATCTTCCAGAGAGAATAATTTTTAGCATTAAATAGGAGCCTTTAAAAGAGGAAACAACTTTTGACTCACTGAGTATAGCCAGATGCCTAGAAGATAAAGCAATGGCAGTAAAGCCAAAGATGTCCATTTTGAATTAGGTCAGCTGATGAACAAATCTGATTTCAATAAGCAGGAGCCTACATTCAACAGATCTGTGCCTTCCTTCTCGTGCCAGTGAGTTCATAATACTTGGACAGCATTGGAAAATAATGTGTTCTGTTGTTCTGATATAGATGGAGGGATATCAACTGAATTTTCCTGGTTTTACAGCAGAGTAATTATTAGCAGAATCTGGCTTCATGTTTCTAAATATTTTAGTATTTTATGAATATAAGAGAAAACACAGTCTACTATATTTCAGCTGCTAAAGATTTTTTTCACTAGAGTCTCAATGACCCCTTCTTAAAATTAGTCCATTGCTTGATTTGTATTCCACAGAGTGCTCATTACAGCTGCTGCTAGTGCACAAAATCCCATGAACATATAAAATTACCCTAAAAATTGATAATTTCAAGCTTTCATTAGGAGGTCTTTTTCACAGGTTGAAGTCAGTCAAACATTAAGTAATTAAGGCAATTTACTGTAGCATGACTATGTTTTCAATATATTCCCACAAGAAATGCCATGGGAGACATCTATAATAACATATTCTTATGAAGCTTTCTTTTGCTTTTGTACTGTTTTGGAGATGGAATTGCTGAGAACATGGCACTTGAGTCTGAGTATCCCCCAAGAGCTTTTACAGTGCCAGTCCATTTGAAGTTGTTTTGACAATTTTGCAGCAACTGAGCATCACCAATATCACTTACAGCCAGTGGTCCTGCTTAACAAAAGCCCAGTAATGTCATCTCTGCTTGGGGTGGTGTTAATTGCCCTTGGAGATTCTAGAGGGTATGGGTACAGAAGGCCTGCTTTGCTATTGGGTTTATTTTGCTTTATTATTTGGTTTATTTTCTTTACCATTACCTGTCCTCGCTGCTCACAGATTTCTGGACACTTGAAGGGTGCTATTTTACTGATACTGCATTCTTCTTAGGTGCAGACAAAGACAATTAGATGAAGCCACAGTTTCATCTCCTTATAGTTACCAGAAAACAGAGAGGAAACCTAGGGAATATACAGAATGTTGAATTATCCACTGCTGTAGGCTATAAAGACTCCAGATATTCTAGAACTATGTTGATTAGTAATTAGCACAAAGCAGATGGGAAATCATGCTGTCTCCCCAGGAACTTAATGCAAACTAGTTACAGTATTTATATGATGTTGAGACTACCCTGCTCAAATGTGTTTTAAATAAATAGCAGAACTGAAATTATCTTGACATTTCAGTTAAAAATAGGTAAAACCAAATATTGAATTGGAAATCAGCTTCAAGTTTATGCTGAAAAGAGATCAAGACTTCTTTATATTAATAAATAATTATTCCAGGGTTTAACTCCTATTTAATTTTTACAATATGTTTTTAAAGATATCTGCTTTAAATCTAGGCTTACTTTCCATCTCTTAAGAGGACTAAATCTGCTCCTGCTCACTACAGACCTTGAATATGATTAATGAAAGATTCATTCTCAACTTGACTGGTATACTGCTACCATATGTATCACAGAATGTTGTTTACTTTTGCTATTCAAAAGATTGGATGTTCAGAGAATTCCAGCTCTAAAGAGTAGGGAATTTGGGCTACTTTGCAAAGGTGTTTTGAAGTGATCCCCTAAGTCAGACTAGGAACTCCCTCCTTTTATTTCTCCTGGTCATATCAGCCCTGTAATAAATATAGAAAAATATGCTCTCTGAGAGCATATTTTGGGGATGAGTGGTTGATAAATACCTCTAGTATTAATTAGAGGTAATTGATTAATGCCTCTTATGGGAAAAGAATATCAACAAATATTCTCTCATGTGAGAATAACTTAAATGAGTATTTCTGATACCAAGTTTAACACACATTACTGTTAGCCTGTCAAGACTGTAATAAATGCCCAGTAATGGGAGTAATTAGAAGACAGGATGAAATATTTCATATTTTGTAAACTTTGGAATACATTTTCGAATTTCATCCTCACTATAAAAAAAGAAAAAGAGTACTCAGGAAAGTTGTGTTGGATAAAGCCTTTGTTGTTTTGATACAAACAAGTTTTGCAAGACAAGTTATGGTTTATGGACTAGGAATACATACATACAAATGTCTTCCAGGACTTCAAAAGAAACATAAAACTCCTCTGACAGAAGAATCTAAAAAAGGCTTTAAAGTATTTTTTTCTACTAGTCAGTGAACTTCCTACTTGATATAAGAATCATGTCCATCCTCAGATCATAATAAACTAGAATAAACTCTCAATAATTGCTTATTTTTGGATACAATTATTTCTCTTTCACAGATTATTTCAAAGAGAATGATCAGAGTGATCCTGAACCATCAGGAGACAGTACCAGATACTATCAGTCTATTAAGAAACATTTTGAGGAGAAAAAAAGCGGGTCATCATCTTTTGTGTCCTCCATTGAAGATGAGCAAAAGCCCCTGTTCTCTGGGATAGCTGATTACCCATCTGTAACAGAGAAAACCACAGAGATGGACTTGGAAGAAATGGATCATGACACAGAAGAAATTCTTATTGACAAAAGAAGCACTTCTTGCAAAGGTAATCCAGCTGTTTCTATTTAGTAAAGTTTTAGCAAACATCTTTTTAGTCTGATTAACAAAAATAACTTTCTGAATGGTTCTCTTGATTCTTTACATAATATTTATTCCAAAAATCTTAAGAAAAAATATCTTAGATCAAAAAATATTATTTCTCAAGAGGATTAATATAGTTTAATTCAGTGGGAACTGGATTCCAGTTCTGTGGGACTGGCTTGTACAGCCTCCAAAAAGTCATTATAGCTTTTGCTACAAATAATCTTGTAACTGAACTACATAAATAATTTTTAAAAACTACAAAATTGTCCACTAGTGTTGGACTTCAATGAGTGCCCATTGATGATAGCTGCCCTCAAAGTAATACAGTATATCCCAAAGGACATTTGATGTGCCAGGGTTGATGACGGTATAAAATTATAGATAGTGAGAGTCAAACTAGATAAACCTAGTGATAGTTGCACATGCACCAAAAATATGTTTTCAGATAACTAATTTTATTCACTGCATTGACAAGGTACAACAAAAATGAAGTGAAAAAAAATCATAATAGCTTGAAAGAAGGCTATCCTGTCTTGCTGCACCTGTTGGTTAAAGAAGTGCCATTACACCACGCAGAAGAAAATCATGACTTCCATAAGTAACACACAAGAATAAAGACATGAGCTTTTGTATATGACAAATGATCAGGAACTATTTAACAATCTCAGATACTTTTACATAGACTTAAATCACATAATTAAAATTACATCCAATATACTAAAATATTAATTTTCTCAGTGATGTGAAAGGAAATTAATGGAAAACCCTGTATTAATATACAATTTAAATATTGCTGCAAGTTCATTTGTAATTCTTTCAGTCTGAAGGGAAGAATTACATATTTATTGTTTAATGCTGTTTTCCTCAGCAGTTTCCATTGAGACACTTTAACCATTTAACCATCATTTAATAAACTTTAGGTTTCTAGGCTATCATTTTAAATAAGCCTAATGATTAATTCGACCAAACAATGATTTTAACGTCTCAGAGGTATGAATGTGTGAAGTGTCATCTCTTCAAGTTAAGGCCCTATAAATCCACACCACATAAACTTGTTGCATACAGACTGCAATTGGAAACCTTTCCTTCCCCCACCAATAGCCAGAAATGTGTCCTTGCAGCTATGGCAACATTTTCCAAGGCAACCTATTGCAGATTTTATTTGAGATAAATTTAGCATATCTAAAGGTTACAAATTTTGATTAAGACCACACTCTTTTCCCCACTTTGTAATTTAGCCCTATGTTATGCATAGTTAATGTTATGCAATGTAATGAGCTTTCTTGCAACATTTATAAAACCTTCAAGGTCAATAAGATTAGCTTTTCCTGATAAATGTTTTAAACTAAATTTTTTATTTCTGCTATTAGAGATTGATTGTAACTTACCATAAGAGTAGTTACAAACATAACAAACTTGTGAAAAAAACCTCTGCTTTTATGTATCCTCATTGTCTTATAAATCTTGGATAAAAATGCACTTGTATAAAGCTGGTCTAATTCATTACCACTGTGACTGATACATATTTAATTATTTTTTGTTTTGTTTTAATCCTTGGTCATTATTTCAATGAATGGAAAGAAAATGAAAAATGCATTGTATAATTTGGCAGAAGCAGTATAAATGTCTCACTCATAATCTTAGAATGCAACTTTTAAATTTTGAACATATGGCTCTTTTGTGTAGATCTCAGGATTTTTCTGTAGCTGTTAGCTCTATGTAAAAGAAAAATGCTATTTTCACTTGGTCATTATTTGGGCTAAAAGACTGATTCTTCAATTCTTCTGGTGAACCTAGAGATACATTTATTGACTTCGTTTTCAGTCTAAGATTCTTCAAGCCCTGGAAGATCAGAGTTGGTTATACAGTTGTAGCTGCTGATGGGGTTTTCTGGGGTTATTAACAAATATGTAATACCTGAAAAGACGCTTAGATGAGTTACACCATATTTTATAGGGTATTAACTTGCTTACGGTGTGTGAACTTATTTTGTTGTTTCAGTCCCAAATCATTTGCTTTGTCACAAATTAAGCATCTATTACAATAGTCTCCAAATACATATTCTGGGGAAAAAACAGCTGTGATTTCCCCAGGATAATCCATGGCATTGAAAATCTGTGATTTTAATGAATGACTTATTGTTTTAAATAATCAACATCTTTTTTTTACAACATCGATGTTTTTACAGGACATTAAAAAGCAGTGAAATGCTCTTGAAATTCACTGCTTATAAGTCTACTAGATCTACAAAACCCATTGCACCTAAACTCATAGTTTGAAACTTTATCCCTCAATTTTTCATAGTATGCTTCATTCAGTTTGATGAGAGATTTCCAGCTTTTCCTTGGACACTACACATTGTACCACATGTGCCTCCTAAAACCAAATTGCCAAATGCTTCTGTGACACCCTTTATCTCTTTCTTTCCATTGGCTTAAGTTCCTGAGAAGCAGAACAGTTTTCTGTGTAGCCAAGATGCAATCTCTTTCCTCTTGCTTCTGCCCAGTGCATGAAATCAGTTACTGATCGTCACATGAAATTCAAACACTCTACAGCTCCAGGAAACCTTCTACCACCTGCTAACCAAAGATCAGATAATACAATAATGACCTTTGTCTGATAAAAACAAACAAACAAACAAACAACAACAAAAAAAAAAGAGAGAGAAGAAAATCTCCTACACTTGGAATCATGTAGTGAGAGCTCCCCTTCCTGGCTAAATCTACTTGAAATACTTAATCTGAGCGGGAACTTCTTTTTTTTTTTTTTTTTTCCTTTACTTAGAGAAACACTGCTCAATGACATGTTTGAAAAGGATTAGCTATTAGCATTTGGACAAAGCTCTTACATGTCACCCACACTGTGAGGATTTTTTTCTCTTCTCTTTGAAACATGGCTCTAGCTGCTATGGTTACTTAGAAAAATTTCACAAGTGTGAAATGAATGTAACCTATGCTGAGTTAATAGCGTGCAGTGCCAAGAGAAGTGTAAGGAGAAGCTCTGAGCAAATCATTCAGGGACTGATGTGGGATTCAAATCCAACTGCAGATGCCTTGTAAGCAGTCAAGGATTTTGCTCAGCTATATGCTGAAGCAGCAGCCTGGGTGCAACAAGAAGTTTAATTTATTGTATAACTTCCTGTACTTAAATAATTACAAGTACAACTCTAAGGGGAATAGTATTGAGCAGATGTTAAAATTTAAACAGACTTTTTTTAGCACATCAAAGAAGAATGAGTGGTTCTGACCATTTTTACTGTTTGATTGACTGATTAACTCAGAGTAAACAAAGACTGTGGGGAGCAGGGTTTGCTGTAGAAAAAGCACTGTTCAACCTATGTCACCTGTAGCCTCTGCAAAGGTGACAGCAAGATCTTCATTCTATACAATAATACTATGCAACAAGTATATCCCCATGATAATTGAGGTGTAAGATTTCAACAACTTGGTGAACAGGATAAATGGCATAGAGCCAAGAACATAACTAATTAATAAATCCACGATGCATAAATTAAGTAAACTGAGAGAGGAAAGAGAAAAAGCCCAAACCAGAAGTCCAAGCAAAAGGAAAGAGTGTCCCTGAGCTCTGTTTGGTAGTGCTTTGTCACAGAGATCCAAGAACTGGGAGGGTCAAGAGGGATGAAATTTGGGTGCAGCAGGTATAGGGTAAGACCTGGAATAATCATCATTTTTTTTTACAAAGGGCTGGAGGTAAAGAAAAAAAATATAAATTCATCACATAAGGAGTATTTTTAGATACATCATGTTTACCATGATGCTTCATTTAATATCAAAGTGATCTCTGGCTGACCCAGAAATGCTGAATATTTTATTCTCTTAGGAGTCTGAAATCCTTAAACAAAATGAACAGGCACCTTTCACCCCACAGTACTGTAGGAGTTTCAGAGATGTGCTTTAAACAGAGGCGAACGGATTGGGTGGGAGAGTAGGGATGCTAAAAGCAACATCAATGAAAATCAATTTCCTTTATGAGAATAATAAGCAGTACTCTTTTGCTAGCAGCATGAGCTGTATTAAATGGCCCTTGTCTCAGAGAAAACATATTACACTTCACCAACCTAAGAAGTGTTGCAGTTATGGGTAAGAAAGGCAGCTCCCTGAGGCCTGGCACCTTTCTCTAGAGGGGACATTCCAATGCACTGTACCACATGCTCAGTGCTGCAATTTCAGTGCAGTGAATTCTTCTTTCACACCAAAGAACTAAGCAGGGAATACACTTCAGTGGCACATTCAAGGGCAAGAGAAGGCATCTTAGGCCTCTGAAGCACACTATCAAAGACATTCAAGGACATAATTTAAAGTCTTTAGGTTAGAACAAGAATTTCTATTTTCAGTGAATAAAAAAATTCCTAAAGAATACACTGAGAAAATTTGGGATCCATTTGTAAAATAATTCAAACAAAACTAAAGAGAAAGCCATTCAGTGGCAGAACTCTGATGATGCTGACTAGAAAAAGCTGCTTGTTTATTTGCAGTTTCAAAATGTTAGCATGTATGTGACCACTTTTATGTTTCCTTAAGGAGTGTTAAGGAACAAAGAGAGATGTTCAGTCTCCCTGGCTAATGTACCAATTTAACTTCCAATGTTTTGAGAAACTCAGTAAATGGGATGTTTGAGAAGTGTCAACCTCTCTAAATCTATGTACATAAAACTATACTTTTATATGTTGTTTTTGTTTTTTTAATCAGACATCAACAAAAGAAACTGGGAGCAGGAGAACATCCAGGAGTACCAGGACTCCCCAGTTCAGCCAGCATTATCCCATGTTACATGGGGAATCTGTGAAACTGAAAGTGATTTTATATACGGGGAAGTGGAGAATCGATTAGATTTACTTCAAGAACAACTTAACAGGTAAAAACAAATAGAAAATAGCCTATGTGTGAAAGAGTACATAATACAACTGATATTGAAGATGCTACAGAAGGAATGAGTTTGTGCAGGAAGTTTCCAAAAGCATTCAGATCGTCAGAAGCTCAAAAATATGTGTAATGGGAATATCACTTTTTTGTGTGTATGTATTCTGAGGAGGCTGTATATCAGCTAAGTTAGGCTTTCCAGAATCTTGGAAAAACCAATTCTGGGAAATCTGGATACACAGTTTTTAAAAGTTACCAGAATATTCATGTCTTTTGCCTCTAGGTACGCACATTAGCTTCTCTGAGTGGCTTTGCAGTAGAGCTCTTTTCCTCAGCTGACTGTTTTAGACCATCTTTTTAACCAAGAAGTTGTACTGAGACGCCTCGAATTGTTAAATTTAAATCTCACCTCATCAATAGTGCTGTTCCTAGATCACAGAACCATCTAACAATTTGGGTTAGAAAGGACATTAAAGATCACCTAGTTCCAACCCCCTGCCATGGGCAGGGACACAAAACAGCAGTTTTCAGTACCTTCAAGATCTGAAGTACATTTTCTTTCTTGGAGACTCAAAGTACAACAGCTGCCTGCTTTTTAAAATGTATTGCAGATGAATTCCCTTTTTGATGCTTTAACTCTTTTTGCAACTCTATAATAAGTAATACATGGGAATATGCAAAAGCACAATACTTATACCTGTTACAACAGAAAAATTATACTTTCTTCATCAGAGTCCAATATCAGTTTTGCTTAATATATGGCACTTAATATATATATTATGCTTAATATATATATATTAAGCATAATATATATTAATTATTACCTATTAATAGATATTATTATATCTTATTATATTATTAATAGAAATTATTATTAATAGATATTATGCTTAATATATCTTGCTTTACTGGCAGCTAAGCAGCACAGCTTACAGCATCTTAAAAATATGGTTACGAAATTTTGATCCATCCTGCACTGTAATTTACCATGTAACTTCACTTAAATTGCCCTACGCTCAGGACCATTGATTTTTTTTCATTATTTTCACTCTGTAATTTCATTACTTTAAATATTTTTCCATGGCAAATACTATGACACACACTCAGTCCTAATCATACTTTAGTAGCTATTCAGTGGCATTCTGCACTGAATATTTTAGCAATCAGTTTAAAGCCAAGTTAACTGCATATTGATTCCTTCATCCACCAGAAGCCAATCAAACAACAATATTTTACATTCCTGAATATGGCATAATGCATTGAAAGGACATTTTTAACACTTAACCCTAAACTGCTGTAATTTCTAGTTAAAATCAAGTAATCTAATTAGCTGCAAATGTCACATAACTAAATGCCTGAAGGATCCCCATCAACAGTACATAGTCTTTTGGTAACAATTCATTTTCTGAAACCTTAAGCTCTCAAAGCTGAAGTTATACCTCAAAGTTACCCTTGTTTTATCATGCAAGTTGTCAGTATTTTCTTCTGTCAGAAAATATAATTTTTGCTGATAAACTAAGAATTAAATTTTTATGTATTTTATTATATCACTTTATTCTTTAAACTATTCTCATGTTTTAAAAGCTTTTCATGCTTTTGGTATTTGGGGCCTTGCTGGATTCTCTACTAATATAACAGTCAATATCCTTTCCTGCCTTTGTCACTTCTGACTTGCTGGTTTAAAAAGCATGGTCACTTCTCCCTGAATTTTTCCATGCCAAGTTAGAGGCTTGGCATAACAGTCAATTATTGAATTGACATAGAGGGCTAGAAAGCCCTCTATGTACAAGGAATATGTCCCTAGAATTATCTCTGTTTCTTCTCTTTAAGCAATTGGAATTTCATGGACACTATGGGCCAAGTATTTAGGCCAGTTCTCCTATTTGTTTAGGTAGCATGGATTTATGCAATGATGATGAATTAACACTACCAGAGACACTCTTTCATTTGAAGTACAAGGAAACATTCATGTACTAACAAAGTAAGAGGGGAGCAATTTTAGAGTTAATTCAAAGCCAAAAATAATTTTGAATGGATATCCTCCAATGCTACCTTTTATTCACTGACGGGTTAAGGCCCAGGTGTAGCAGATGGAAGTTCTCTGGATGGTGGCATGTTCCTGCAGCATTTCACCCTGTGGCATCAGCCCTGGGCTTGTGTGGGAGCAGCATATTGGCAAGTAGCAAAGAACCCAAGGGCGCTGACCAAGAGGGCAAGTAGGGCACCTCTGACTCTAACAGTCAGAAGTCTGGGTTTGGACTGTTTTTTTCTGAGAGCTGATGCCACAAAATCATCTTTTTCTGATGAAGGAAGAAACAGCATCCCAAATACACTTCAGTCATACCTTTTGGATTCATTTCACAGATGCCTTTATAAATAAATGATACAGGCAATGGACAACTCCAACAGGATAAAAAATAACATCAGTGCAGCACATGGTAAAAGCAAAAATCTGACAGCACGGGATCAATTCTGCTACTGTAGGGAGCCCAAGTAGTAACATTCACAACATTAAAGGCTGCTGACAAAGATTTGTTTACTCTGTCAGAAGCTCAGTTGCTGTACAGAAGGCTGTATTATCTGCATTACCATCTGTCAGCATGTGCTGTAGCCTTCCAGCAGCTGGGAAGGTACAAAAGGCATTACCTTTTCCTGAGTTTGTCATAGGTTTTGGCAAGACCATTTAAAAATCATTTCAGTGCTATGAAGTTGTAAGTATGAACAAAATAATCAGTTCGAGGGTTTCAGAAGTCATATACAAATTTATAAAAAGATGAAAAATGTTTTTAAATGTACAAAATTTGAACATTAGAAATGCTGACATTAATTCTGAGGCCTGCATAAGTTTGAATAAATTTTCACAGTAATGAGAATTGGGCAGTTGGATTTTTAATGGTTTTGGAAGCATCTTTCTTTTTCTAACTGTGGAAAAACACAAATGCGGTTTCTGCTTAGTTCAGTGCATTGTATCAGCATGTCAGAATTCCTTGTCAGATGCATCAAAATAATGTCCCATGCCCAGCCAGCACAAATCACTTTAGTTACAATGAAGAGAATACATTTATTCCAGTTATTTTCAACCAGATACGCAGTCCCCTGTGTTGCTTCTTGTTGCAAATCTAAGGCACAGTGATGAACTCAGTATGGCAAAAACCAGAGAAAAGCTTGCAGGTATGTTCTGCAAGGGAAAGGGAGAGCCAGAAGCTTTGGAAGGGCTCAGTACTCCCTCTACTGTTCTCTCCTATTTAAGACATGTTCAAGCCACAACAAGCAATGGTTTTACTGGGAAACTGCAGGTCCCTCTTGAACACCTCTGTTCTCAGTGCATAAAATGCTCCTGTTCCTGGCCATGATCTAACTGATTTCATGTTCCCTCTCTAGGCTTGAATCCCAAATGACTGCTGATATCCAAACCATCCTGCAGCTTCTGCAAAGGCAGTCAACACTCATTCCACCTGCCTATAGCATGGTGACAGCAAGTGCAGAGTATCAAGAGCCAGAAGTCCGGGTCATACAAAAGCTTCAGCCTGCAGCATCAATCAAAACAGACAGAAGTTTCAGTCCTTCATCTCAGGTAAGTACATGTCCATAAGATCAAAAGAGGTTTCCTAGTCTTCTTGTCTTATGAGGAAGAAATGCACCAATCTGGTGCTGGTACACTAGTTTAAGGAATATGAAATTATTATTTTGACCTAGCACCTCCACAGTGGACTTAAACACCACAGTTTCAGAGGCCACATTTTCTATGAGGGTTGTAGAGATTCATACAATGATCTTATAATCAGACAGATTTACTTAATTGTAATTTTTTTAAATAAAAGTTAGCAGAAAAGGAATCCAAGTGGTTAGAATGTTCAGAATTAAGCAATTCTGAAGTTATGCTCTAAAACAGAACTTCCTACTCCAGAATGTTGATTTCCATACTCTTAGACTGGGTCTCAAGAGTAATCAGTCCTTCAGAAAGGGCTGCTAATATGTGTATCTTGATGTCATATTAGCAGGTCTGAGAGGAGGAAAAGATATCCAGACTTCTACAATTAATCAGCAGAATTGCATTCAATTACATTAAATCAAATGCAGTACCATGTAAAAAAATATTTCTACACTGTTTAATTTTCAAAAATTATTTTCCATCAACCATCTGAATGTGCTAATTTTGAACAGAACAGGGGACTGGAAGAGACCAATGTAATTATTACCATCTTGTTTTTTCTCTTCCCTTACAGTGTCCTGAAATTTCAGATGTTGAAAAATCAAAACTGAAATCCAAAGAATCCTCAAGCGGAGTGCATCTGAGCACAGCCTCAGAAGACAACCTGGCTTCTTTTTTAGACCAAGAACGTGACCAGTCTGTAGAGCCACCCCCACAGCCTTGTAAAACTTGTCTCCCTCCAATTAGGCACCCTTCCTTGCCAGAATCTTCACTAAGCACTGTAGGAATCTTGAGTCTTCATAGGCATGTTTCTGATCCTGGTCTTCCTGGGAAATAGTACTTTTATACTATTACTTCACATAAAAATGTAAGTGCTTTTAATGGCTGTTTCTCCTTTTTTTTTTTTTTTTTTGTATTTAAATCCTCTATACTTGACTCAGGGGCTACAAGGAATATACCATTATATGCAAAAGTACTGTATATTTTCCTAAATCTGAAGCTTGTAAGGTAAAGTTGAGCAGTTCTGATGTAAATATATATATATATACACACTAACTGTATGTTCCAAATGTAAAACTGCCAGCATTCTCAAGGCACCTTATATTTTTATTTTTTTTTAATAACATGCATGTTCTGAAATTACAGTTTACGTTGCATGGAGATTACCATTTACTGCTGTCATGGAAATAGTATTTTACTGTGGATATGTCTTCAGAGCAAATAGGAGACCAATAACAATAATTCACATAGAAAAACTCCTACCTGACCAAGCTAAAATTCAAGAAAAACGCTCTTCTAGCTCACTTTTGAAACTTGATTTATCTTTCTTGTAGTGAGCTTTTTCTACTACATCACAATGAGTCTGAATCTGAAGAAAGAATAGGATAACCAAATCTTCTGAGTTTGAAACAATTAGGACAGAGAACACAGCCTCCTTTCAAACTAGTTAAAGTAGGGTAGTATTTTAACAGAGAGGAAAACTGCCATATGGTGCAAAGTATCACCATAGGTCACATCCACAAACTGCATTAAATTGAATCATTTGTTTTCATCACATTTTGGGTTTTGATTTTTGTACTGTTATTTTTTAAATTGCATCATAGAATTCAGGTGTGATGAGCAGACAGGTGCTCTTCATCTGTCACACAAACATAATCAAATGCAATAAACCTAATTTCTATGTAATGCAGAAGACTATGTTCCTTTTGTTCAATACAAATTATTAACAATGTTTTAATTTAAAAATATTTTACACATTTTTGTTTTATAATTATTAGGGTGGCTGTTTGCAGTTACCTCTTTGTACTGACTGGCCCCTCTACAATGCTCACACACACACTCACACCCCACAGGTGCTGTGGATGTGTGCATGTGTGTATTTTATAGCTGTACATAGGTGTGTATGTATGTGTATGTGTATATATATTTATATACACACATACACACAAGTGTGTGTATATACCTACACTTACATGTAGGAGTATAGATATAGAGCTATATATATATATATGTATATATGTAAAATCACTTTCAGGAACAATTGTAAACTTTCTTATTACAAAATGAGTAAGCTTAGCTTGTGTCCAAAGCTGACTACATTAGAATAAAATGATCTAAGGTCTGTAGGCTTTAAATACAGTATGTACTGTATGTGCATAATGCTTTGTGAATACTTAGATTTAATTTTATTAAAATATTATTCTGCTTCAAATGTTGTGTTTCTTTTAGAAGGAAATTATGCTTTTATTACTGCTTTCAAATATTTTTACATATCCATTATGATTTTCTAATCTTATAGTTCTAATGTGAAATTCCTCTCGCATGAGTACTGTTTACAGAAAAGCACGTCATCCAGTTAGAGTGGGAGCACATAAATTTTACCTATAACCAAGCTAAACCCCCTGTCCAAAATCAGTGCTACAGAGAGATGCAATAGTGACTGTCCCTCACATAGATACATTCTTTGTATGTTGGGGTCAGAATCAAACGTGACACTTCAGTCATACACAGCTGGTAGATAAACCCAAGGTGGGTAAATCTTTCCTCATTTAAAATTAGTGTGAGTGTTAAGCTACTGAGCATGGCTCTGCTTTACCTTTGTTTTTAAGGATACCAAAATAAATTAAGTCAATACCTTTGTCACTCAAAAGATAAACCAACCCTTCCCATGCAAGATCAAATTTTCTACTGCCTCATACTGCTCTTGTTTGTTGAAAGGTCCAAATGGTAAAACAGGCTGACTGTTCTACCACGATGACAGGAGAGCTGAACTGCTCTGTGCCTTGCAGGGTCAGATCCTAGTATCAGGAAAATTAATCCACAAATGCCAGAGGTTTATGTCCCAAAAGGAGACAGAGGACTCCTGCAACTTGATTAGAATAAAGGGAAGGAGAGTCCCTGGGGCACACGCCTGTGGGGTTTTCTCTCCGTTTCGGAGGTGCAGCCTCCTTTTATCCTGGACTCCCGGCCACACGTTGCCCCCTTCCTTACCCTGCTGGCTGAGGTACTAGGAAGGTACAGCCTTCCCAAACTCCCTACCACATATCCCCCCTTGAACCTGTCATTTTACCCTCATGTTCAGGCTTGTGTAGACCCTTGCCTGTTTCAGGAGCAAAGCTGTCTGGGCTCTGCAACAAACTCGCTGCTTGAGGTTAGTAAAGACATTGAGACCCATTTCAAAGGCCTTACCACCCATACCCTCACCCGTGGAATTGTTTGTGAAGACATTAGCACACATCTTTCCTCCCACTAGGGACCAGTCATAAACTTTACCTGCATATACTTCAGTGGAAACGAGTGTTGGATAACAAATACCTTCTGTGAGGTTTTGTTGTTTGGGTTTTTTTAAATAGCAAGTGTTAAGGACTTCTCCTCTATCTCAGCCTGGTAACACTCATGTCTGTTGCAAGAAACAAGTTAGCACATTTTCTAAAAAGGCATTTGTTATGCTGCTTTCTAAAAAGTCTGGTATAGAATAAAAATAAAATTAATGAAAAAATATAATGCATGAGCATTGCTTTACAAAAGGAGGCCTTCTGTCCAATTTTGTCACCTGGTATTTCTCATTACTGCAAAGAGATTGAGCAAAGCAGGTGGCCTGAGGAAGGAGCATTGGGGAGGGAAGAGGAAGAGTGACAACTACTGCAGTCAGTCAAAGTGAAGGAAAAGCTACACTTCATTTTCTGGCTCAAAAAGACTTTGTTTCTTCCTTTGTCCTTGTACCAAGGGAAAAAAAAATCTCAAATGGGTGCAAATAAGGGAGTCTTCTTAAAGTTATGGAGATTCTAAGCTCCCTGCCAAGGAATCCAGAAAAGTGGATTAAAGTGTAGTTGCAACATTCCAGCTACCCCTTCCTTGCCACCAAAAGATCTGGCTTCTCAGGTAACTTCTTGTTGAGGTTCAATGAAGACCCACTGCTTCAACATTTTTTTCTTCCAGAAACAGGTAAAAACCAGTGAGTATGGAAATTCATTAATTTTCTAAACAGCAAAAATTGCCCCTTTTATTTGCAGGTGATTTTGCTGGAAGTTTTTGGGAGGGTTTTTTGAAGTGTGAGCCTCCCTATAAGTCTGGTCTGGTTTTCACTTGATAGAAATGGGTCTGTGTTATCCAAATCAAACTAAGAATAATAATGTCAAGGGTTGTATACCCAACACAGTTGTAACAGATCCATAGAAGTTTTCAGAACTTTAGGAGCAAGTTTCGGGTTTGCTTGAGCTTAGGAACATTTGGCTATGTATATTAAAAACTTGTGGCTAAAAATAAATGTAAATTATAAGCTGTAAATATAGAGAAATCTCCTGAAAATTCAGGAATACCTAAAGTAGCTGAAGTACAAAAGCTACTTGTGGACAATCACTTCAAATGTGAGAGGTGAGACTGTACAGATCAGCATAGCTCTTGATGGAGCTAGCTAATTGGCTCCTACCAGTTACAGGTGTAGTTCAACATTTAAAGCAAAGGAGAGGTTGTGATGCTTTTCGATAGTTAAGCTGTGCAGCAACCTGAACTATTTGGATGTGCACATTCATCTACAAGCACAGATTTAGATTTACTGTAATACACAGCAGTCATGTGTCTTGGCCCAACTGCTGTTTCCTGGAAGCACACACCCAGCTGCGTCTCTTTTCTTCCATGTTCCATTGTTGTTCACTTTGCAAATGCATTTTCTGATCTCCCACCTCGCTGCTGGCTCTCCACAGATGGACCTCTCTTCCCTTTTCCTGCTGTAAATTGTGCCCTAGCAATTTCATCTCTCTGGTGAGCACTCATCAAAGTTCCTGTCTCATTCACCAGCATCATAAGTAACATACAAAAAGCTGAAATGCACTGCTTGGCAGAGCCTCTGGCTGCCTGCTGAGGTGAAGCAACTGGAGTCTTGCCCACTGATAAATTGTAAGTCTTCTTATTGGAGCTGCTGAGCTCTAAAATGCTGAGCACAAATAGAATCTCAGGACACTGCAACACCAGCACAGCAGAAGGAACGATTCCTCCCATGACTGGTGTACTTAATACCACACCTGCAGATCAGCACCCTTAATCTTCCCATCCTCTCTGTTAAACATTCTTTATAAATATTCACACACTGTGAGCAGCGTGGAAGCGTGTACACTGCATGGTGCAGTGCGGCGATGTGCTGTGCAGAGCTGTGCTGTGTGGCGCAGTGCAGTGCTGTGTGCTGATGTGTGGCGCTGTGCGGTACTGTGCAGTGCAGTGTGCTGATGGGTAGTGCTGTGCTGTGCAGTGCTGTGTGCTGATGTGCAGTGCGGTGCTGTGCCGTGCTGTGCAGTGCTGTGCAGAGCAGTGCAGTGAGGCGCTGTGCGCTGATGTGCGGTGAGGTGCGATGCGGTGCTGAGCCGCGACGGCTGGGCCACGTCCCGGCTTTCCCGCTGCGCTCCGGCCGAGCAGGGAAGGGCGGTGTCGGGTCTGTAGCAGGGCCAGGCGGTGGCACTGCGCAGCCTTTGTCACAGCCGAGGGGAAAGCCGAGTGCTCCTCCCCTGCACTGCCAGAACAACTGCTATGAACCCTGACACCAATTTCAATTACATCTGAAAGGGACAAAGGTCTCAAAAATCGGTGTAAATGTCCAGGAGAGCGATAGTCAGGGTATTTCCATTATTCATGGTCAGAGCAGGAGCTCAGCCATCATCTGTGCAACCTCACACTACCTGGAATAAACATGTAACATTCTTTATCTCTGGAAGTCTCAAATGTCCTTTTAATGTCTGCAAACTCTTAGAGCCAGTAAAGGATTGTTTTGGAATTAACATACAGCCTGATTTACCACCACAGTGTACACAACAAAAGCAAACACACAAACAATCCATCTGCACACTGAATGTCCTGCGGGCTCCCAAAACTGAGCAAGAAAGGCTCATGTGCCTTCCAGTGAAGGTGCTGGAGACAGAAGAAAAAGTACTAGGGGGAAGGAAATCTTTCAAGGGAAAGTTGCATAAAGTAGAAACGAAAAAGTAATGATGAAATAACAGTGAAACTAGAGATAAGCATAAGAATGATGAAATGAAAGTAAAAACAAATTAAGTTCTTCTACAAAAGAAGCCTCCAGCTAAAGGAAGCTCCTCTGAGAGCAGACTACTGCAGCACATCTCAACGTGACAAGCAGCTGAGGGTACAATTTGAACTACAGAATACTTTAGGCTGGGAAAGGACCTCTGGAGATAGCTGTCTTTCTTTTAAAAGCAAGACATTTAATCAAGGACACTGTCAAGCAAGGCGTTGAATTTTCTTCAACACTTCCTTCTATTGAGGAAATTTTTGCTACTTCTCTGAGCAATATATTCCAATGTCTAATTGTTTCTAGAGAGGATAATATTTTCTTCTGACACCTAGAGATAATTTCCTCTAGAGAAACATATTCCAATTCCCCTTTGTCCTATGTACCCCAAGTAGTGGAGATGTAGTGAAGAAACATCCAACTTTTAGGAGCTGAAGAACTGTTGGTGTCCCAAGACAGGTTCTTTCACCCAGTTTGCAAGAGACTGATCTGCAGAGAGAATCAAGGTATTTGATTTATTTACAGTTCTGCCTTGCACAGAAGGAGGTGCTTGGTGGCAAATTCCCAAAGTCAGCAACATGACTGTCAACATTTTTTTACATTTTATCAGAAAAAGGCATTAACACTCATTGGCTACAAGTTACAAAGTTTTTCACATTAATCAGTACTCTTTTTTTTTCTATTGGTTAAACTATTCCCTCGCTTCTTATGCTGATTAGTCCACATCCCCAGCTTTTCCCTTCTTCTGAGTCAGTGGTTTCCTGGATTGGTGGTCTGTGAATCAGTGGTCAGAACCTCTTCATGCCAGAATTACCTTCTATGTAGTCAGAGTCAATCTCAGTACAACTGCTGAAATGTCTTCATTATTTTTTTCCTTACCTTGGGAGTTCTGCCAAATGTCCTTGAGGCTCATAAATTGTTCTTTGGTTCTGCTATCAGTGATACATCCTTATTCCCAGGCTTTGTTAACCTCCCCCTAGGTCTGAGATCATTGAAACATGCCTAAGCCTTAGACCTTAACAAGGCAATTTTACGGACAAATAAATTATCTTTCTAACACCCAAATATCACTGCAGTTGCATCTCCCCTGACCCTTATTTTCTCCAGGCTTTGTAAATGTATTTCTTTCAAATGTATGGCAGGCTGTCCAATCCTGTTGGCCTCTGGAACTTACAATGTTTCAGTCTCTTGAACTGCCCCGGACCAAAACTGAACACAGTAATCCAGACACTCTCTGTTTATCATTTTGCTTTACCCCAGAATCACACTGAGGTTCCTCAAACCCCCACCATGGAAACCAAGATTGCTTCTGAAGCTCAGTGCCATGTACGACATGGGTGAAACCTCATCTCAGGGAGAGGTCTTCCATGGCTTCAGACACCAACCAAGCTCCTCACATTGCTGCCACTGCGTGCTGGGGCAGCAGCCAGCACCCAAAACCCTGACACGCTGTGAGCAGCCCGGGAAATAAGCCCTCATGAGTGGAAAGTGAAAGAGATGTTTCCGTTTATGACTGTGTTTTTCAGCCCACGGTTACTGGCAAAGGTTTCGTTACTGGCAAAAGGTTTCGTTTTCAACACTGAGGAGTGGC